TGACTATGTTTTACATGATTTTAATTGTGAAACAAAATTTTTCAATTGTTTTATAGTAATAATTATCTTATATTATTTATTATACTGCAATATATTTTATTTTTAACTATACAATAGTATTTTGTTTGTTAATTATAGTATCAATTTTTAATGTAAATTTTGATAATAATAAATTGATACAAAGAATAATATGTATATAAATATATTTACAGTATTTTAGTTCATTATGAATACAAACAAAATAGTTGTGTGTGTTTTACTTCATAATTAACTTTTGCTTAAAAATAAATTTTCGTTGATTATGTTTGAATAAACAAAGTAATACAATAACACAAAAAAATACATTACAAAACTTACTAATGATAATAAATGGAGTGTAGAGAAATAAATTTTATACATTTATAGTATTTTTTTAGTACAATAGTTAACTAACAAATATAAAGTACAATACAGTATAATATACTTATATATGATATTACTTACAGAATATATTCTGTATCTTATTTACACTGAATAAGTATGTGTTTTGTTTGTAATTGAGTTTACATTGTATTATAAACATTCACATTAAGCTTCTTTATATAAATGTTTTGTTTGTAAATTAAATTAATTTAATATCACACATTTATTTTTTGTGTGCTAAATAAACTTATTTTTTTTGTTATATTATTAGTTTTAATTTAATTATAATTTTGTTATGTATAACTTTTCTTATAATAATAATAAAAAAAATGAAAATAGTTTGAAATTTATATCGTATGCATCAATAGTTAAAAAATACATAAAATAAACAACTTATATATAAATAATTTATTTTAGTGTTTATATCAAACATTTTCTTTCAAAAATATATACACTAAATAATATAAGATAACAATTGATATATAGGTTTTAAAAACAATAAAATTTCACATAAAAATTGACATTAACTATTGTATTGCAAATCATAAACATATTTTATGACTTCAAAAAACTTAAATCCTAAACATTTTACAAAAAGTTAATAATACAGAATTGTATATTATTTTTTAAACATTTTATAAATAATTATATTTTAAATGTTAAATGATTTCTAAATAATTGATAATATTTATAGAATTTTTTATAATTATACATATATTTTATAATTAACTAAATTGATTGGAAAATTTGTCTTATTTTGTACACTAAACAAAAAATGTGAATCAAAAATAATTGTTATAAATTGGAAGCAAAATATATTTTATATATAAACTATATATATATATATATTATATATATTAATATAATTGTATTTTTTTCTATCAAATGTGTGCCTACAGTAGAGTATATGTTTTGTGTAAATACAATATATAATTATATATATATATATATATATGTTTTGTCATATAATTAATCGGAAACCTTTCGATCAATTAAACAAATAGACGACAAAATCAAATAAATTGTCGGCTAATAGATAGTAACGGTCAGTGAATTGTGTGTTACGACTGAAAAACAATGAGATGAAAGATAAGCAGTTTTGTCATACAAATCAATCTTCTAGTAATTCCTATACTCTTTTTGCTTATAATATTAAGGCAATTGTCTATCTATTTGTTTGGATATAAGTTTGTCCTCAAATTCACTCACATAAGTTTCTCTCTCTCTCTCTCTCTCTCTCTCTCTCTCTCTCTCTCTCTCTCTCTCTCTCTCTCTCTCTCTCTCACTCTCTCTCTCTCCCACTCTAACTCAATCACTCAAAACAAATACATTGAGGTCACTATACAATGTATCACAAAAAGTATTATTAGCCTTAATTCAATGCATTTTATACTTGAAGTTTCAAAATCATATGTTGTGATCATACAGTAGCTGTCATTCAACTTAATATATAATTTGAAATTTTGTCCGATCCATACATTTAATCAATGTTTCAAATGTTTTTTTCAAATACATTGAATTATTTGAATGTGAGATACAAGTGTCCATCTATTGGAAACTACTATACAATGTGAAAATAAATCGATAGTTTCTAAACAACTTTTACATTAATATGAATTATAGTTGATATCATTTGATTATTATATATTAATTATTTCTAATATAATTTAAATATTATACAGTATTTGAAACAATATTATCAAATTTTATTAATAATTTATAGCTACAAACAACACATGTGTTTTTAATCACACTTTAAGTACTGTATATACTGTATGTACTATACATATTAATATTATGTAATTTTTTTTAAAGTTATTATAAAATTAATGGAAACTTTATATCGACAAAAATATATTACTTTGATGTCTACAATATAAAACATTAATTCATTCATATATATGTATAAAATAATCAATTATTGATGATATTATTGTAATTACGAGTGATATCATTATAAATATACACTTGAATTCATATAGATTTTCTCATTAATAATAATAAGTACATTCGAGACTATATATTGTATTATATTCAATGTTACTCTAAATCTGTAAATAACTCTTTGATAACAAAATTTTCTGTTATATTCATATGATTTATAGTCACATACAGGAGCTCATCGATAGACAAAGAGGACTGTGTGTGTGTGTGTGTGTKTGAGAGAGAGAGAGAGAGAGAGAGAGAGAGAGAGAGATTCAAATTAAGTCAGTGATGAATAATAGAGAGGAAATCCTAGACCAGTGACATACACACACACACACACACACACTGGTAGGTCTGGCAATGAATTTTTGCCAACTATTTTAAATGTGAATACAAAATCTCATTCAATGCTTGACTCAACTATTTATTATGTTATATAGTTTTGTTGATTTTTATCAGTTATAGTTATATTGTAGTAAAACTCAGATAAAATATATATAACAATGAATATCTAAATATACTATACAGTAGTTTCGTAAGTTATAATTTATTTGTTATATGTGTATGAGTGGGTCAGCTGCCGGTGCCCTTAATTACATAGTAAACCTAGGTTTGCCCAAAATTATATATGTATTTCTATTTAAATTTTAATCTAAATATTAATCTCACTTTTTTTGATAACATTAAAAAATAAATCATAATTATATACTTCGTGTTTAATCTCAAGTGTGTATTAAAAACTCATTTCCTCCATAGATTTGCTTTTATTTTTATCCAATATATTTATAGAGTACATATTAAATGGTTTATTTTAAATATAATAGTTTTAAATAAGCTACTTTATTTGAAATTTTTTGAAAATACTATACATTACACAAAAAAAAATAATTTTTCGTTGCATTAAATTACTATCAATACTAGTACTATATGGTAATAAATAAATGTATTGAAATAAATAAATTGCATAAATAAATCATCAGAAAAAAATAATATCATATTTAAATGGTTAAATGTATAGTCTATCTATTATCCAGATGATTTTTGTTATAGATAAAAGCAAATTATTATAATCACATAAAAGTTTTTACTTGTTACATTAAAACATTTGTGGCTATATATATATATTATATGTTATGTGGATAGTTAATGGTAAATTATCAAAATTGCTTTTTTTTTGGTTATTATATTAATAATACAATATCCATATTAATGTATGAATATTACATTTGACAAACAAATTTATCTCAAGCCAACTCTCCTGATGGCCCCCCTCTCATCAGTGACCAATAAATTATTGAATCACAATAGATGGGACAATCATATTGATGCCACTATGAGATAGTGAATTTGGGAACCGGGAGATAGTTCTTATAGGCTATTAATTTGTCATACATTTTATACCAGTAACAGCAGTTATATATATTATAAATATATAAATTTAAATATAATATAATAATTTATATAAAAGAAAACATCCCTACATTTTGTAGTATTATTTTTATGTTATCTATTGTGTTGCCCATCGCTGTACATTTACACACCCTATCCTTCTATTATATCTACATGTAATTTAAAACAAACTTTATTTAAACAATTTTTATGTTTTAAATTTATGTAAAATGCAATAAATATTTTTTTAAATTAAATTGTATTTATCAAATATTGACGAAATATCAATAAATTTTCATAATTTTTAATTTAATTATAAAGTATAGGACTATATTGAATATATTCTGTATATATAAAGAGCCAGTCAAATGATCTTGAGCCGCGTATTTTTTGAATAACTTTTAAACGGTTAGAGATAATTTAATTCTGTAAAATACATTTAAGAATATCATATCGACCACACTTTATATACACACAATCACAAAACTAGGATGACCAGATCTACAAAATATCGGGACCAACGAAAGACACTATGCTACAGGTCAAACTACAACCGACAAATTTATTATGATAATGAAAATTTGTAGTCAAGAAATAATAGTTTAATATAAAAAAAATCATCAAAATCGAATTGGTAGTTTTGTTTTTACGGCTTGTTAAGTTTGTCATAAATCATATTATATAAAATAGTCTAAAATAAAAATGACGTTATTTATGAATATTATATATTTATTAGATGATATTTTCAAATATATCACTAATTCTAAAAACGAAATTTTAATATGTCGACTAGTTTTCGATATAATCGAATTTCAATATAAATCACACTATTGTAATTTGATATTATAATTTATATTGAAATTCGATTATATCGAAAACTAGTCGACATATTAAAATTTCGTTTTTAGAATTAGTGATATATTCGGCTCAAGATCATTTGACTGGCTCTTTATATATATAAATCGACAACTAAAATAATATATCAGAAGTCATTGAAATTTTAACCAAATTTAAAACTAAAACGACTAAAATGTTTAAATTCATACAATTAACTGCCATTCAATCATTTCACTTAAACCAGTACTCTATGCTATATCATTGTTAATAATATTAAAATATTGTAAAACTAATTTAAAAATATATTTATTTAGATATTAATAATAAAATAATCATTTTTTACAATTATTACTAATTATTATTTTTTATGCACTTGTTTGACATGTATCCTAATATTAGTTTTAGCAGCGCATCGGTAGTCACATCCGGGCCAATGACAAGCAAACGGTTTAACATTATTGTGAACATTCATATGCTGTTCGAGATTAATCCTATGTCTAAACCGTTTGTCACATTGAGGCCAAACACATGAAAACGGTTTGTTTCCCGAATGAACTTTCATATGAGCGGTCAGATGTTTACCGAAATAGTCACATCCGGGCCAATCACACCGTTTCTCTATATAAATCCTTTTGCGTTTATAGTTATGAGTTATCTCTCGATGTTTGGCTCTTTTTGCTTCAGTAAAAAACTTTTCCGGACAACCCTTTACTCTACACCTGAGTGTTGGTTCACTTTTGTGTTGAGCTAAATGTTTATTCAATTCTCCTTTACTGTGAAACTGTCGCTGACAGCCATCAAAATGACATTTGAATAAAATATTTGTGTGCAACCGTTCATGACATCTAAGACTATGTAAATGTTTAAATAATTTATTACATCCACTCATTGGACAAACAAATGATTTATTATTTTTTAAATGTTTATTATTCACGTGTTGTTTCATTTGGCTATTGTATACACATTCAAACTGACAGTCCGTGTACTGACATTTCAATGTTTTTGTTGTATCCGATGGATGGTATACTTTGTAGTGATACCACATAGTACTTCTGCAGGTAAACATTTTGTCGCAGCCATCGTAACGACACTTTCGTTTAACAAATTTTTTCGTAACAATCTTCTGGTCATTTCTTCCGGTTATATCTTCATCAAAATCAGATGATATCAATGACTGATAGCTTTGTGAGTCAGTTTCATCTATGGATTTACATTTAATCTCAACAACTTGTTTGTCCTCATTGTTGTTGTTATTTATATTTCGGACAACTTTTTGTTTGTTAATCAACTGATTGCAATCTTTTTGATCAATTGTGTCTTTTGTGTGACATTTTAATAATTGGTTATTAGTTTTAGCATATGTTTTATCAATTTGTTGACTGCTATTGTAATTCAATTGATTAGATGATAATGAGCTAACAGTTTTTGATTGTTGTTGAGTTTGAAATACATTATTATTAGTAGTAGTAGTAATGTTAGACAATCTACTTAATGGTAAGTTAGTTGTAGTCAATGATTTGATTTTAATGTTTTTAAATTCCGATGGTTTAAGTGGTGATACATTTGGAGGTAGTATTAGATACAGAAGTTTGCCTTTAATTTGATTGTTGGCAACTGATTGTGGTTTTATGGGTGATATGAGTTGTTCATCATTACTACTACTACTGGTAACGACTACTTCTTTACTGTTTTTATCGTTGATTTGATTTTCATTATTGTTTTCAACTTCTTGTATATTATCTGAATCAGACTTATCCGTGTCTTCAACGAAATGATTGTCCAAATTTTTTGTACCATTTTTATCATCACGTCTTAAAAGTTTACTATTATTTTCTGTAAATCCTTTCTCTTGTCTTTTATTGTAAATATAATTCAATTGATGTCTCAATTGATTAAACTTGTCTTCAGTTTTCAGTTGTGTCTCAAACTTATTATAAATTAAATTCAATTCTGATTTCAATTCATCCAAAATATTCAGATATTTGTTGGCAAACAATAACTCTTTGAGAAGTCGTTTGTTTTCACTCCACAATTGATCCAAAATGTCATCAATTGTCACAACCATTGATGTCATCATTCAATGTATTCATACAATCATTCAATGATTGTAAACATAATTCACATTCAATTGAATACTAAAAATCAATTCAAATATTTGTTTCAATATTCATAACAAACACTTCAATCATATGTTTTGTTTGTAAACATAGACTACGAGGGACTGTCAATGCATTGAAAATACTGTAAGTTTATATTTTTGACAACAAAAATGATATAAAAAAGTCAATCAAATTATTTTAATCATATTTAAGACTAAAACAACTAAAATATTTAAATTCATACAATATATCCATTCAATTGTTACAACTTCTCAATGCTATATCACTGTTAATATACTAAATATATAAAAGTGAATAAACATTAATAAATACTTTTTAATACTTTAATAAAAACATATATTTATTTTGAAATTTTATATATTAATAAATTATTATAAAATGTTTATTTTTTTTTAATTATTAAAAATTACTAATTATTATATTTTATGAACTTGTTTTAAATGTTTACTAATATTAGGTTTAGCAGCGCATCGGTAGTCACATCCGGGCCAATGACAAGCAAACGGTTTAACATTATTGTGAACATTCATGTGTTGTTGTAGTCTAATCTTATACCTAAACCGTTTGTCACATTGTGGCCAAACACAAGGATACGGTTTCCTTCCCGTATGAACTTCCATATGAGTGGTCAAATATTTACCGAAATAGTCACATCCGGACCAATTGCAGCGTCTCATAGGATTAGATGGCTTATTATAGTTATGAATTTGCTTCCGATGTTTAACTCTTTCTGATTCTGAAAAAAACATTTCCTGACAATCCTTTACTAAACACTTGAGTGTCGGTTCACTCTTGTGTTGAGCCAAATGCATAGTCAACTCGGATTTAGTACGAAACTGTTGCTGACAGCCATCAAAATTACAATTGAATGCAAATGTATTTGTGTGCAAACGTTTATGACATTTAAGACTATATAATCCTTTAAATAATTTATTACAACCACTGATGGGACAAACAAATGACTTATTTGAATGTTTAGGCATATGTTTTATCATTTGGCTATTGAGTTGACACTCAAACTGACAGTCCGTATACCGGCATTTCAATGTCTTTGTTGTATCCGATGGATGGTATACTTTTTCGTGATACCACTTAGCACCCCTGGAAATTAAAATTTTGTCGCAACCATCGTAACGACACTTTTCTTTTACAAATATTTTCGTATCGATCTTCCGGTCAATTTTGGTTATATCTTCATCAAAATCATATGATCTCAATGACTGATTGCTTTGTGGATCAGTTTCATCGATGGGTTCACATTTAATTTCAATCTCCTCTTCATGTCTGTCCTCTTCATAATTATTGTTTATACATTGCATCTCTTTTTGTGTATCAATCAACTCATTGCTATCTTTTGGTTCAAGTAATGAACTAAAAGAAGATGACTTTTGTGAAGTCTGAACCACATTATTATTAGGATTAGTAGTAATGTTAGACAATTTAATTAATGGTAAGTCTGTTGCAGACAATGGTTTGATTTTAATGTTTTTTAAATCCAATGCTTTAAGTAAAGGTATATTTGGAGGTATTTTCAGAAACAAAAGATTGCCGTGAAATTGATTGGTGGCAACTGATTGAGGTTTTATCGGTGGTATCAGTTGATGACTACTACTACTGGTATCAACTACTTCTTTAGTGTCTTTATCGTTGATTTGTTTTTCATTGTTGTTTTCAACTTCTTGTATATTATCTGAATCAGACTTATCCGTGTCTTCAACGAAATAATTTTCAGTACCATCTTTGGTAACACATCTTAAAAGTTTCCCATTATTTTCAGCAAATGTCTTGTCATGTCTTTGATTGCAAATATCATTCAACTGATGTCTTAAATCATTGAACTTGTATTCAGTGTTCAGTTGTGTTTCAAACTTATTGTGAATTAAATTCAATTCAGTTTTCAATTCATCCAAAATATTCAGACATTTGTTGGCAAACAATAACTCTTTAAGAAGTCGTTTGTTTTCACTCCACAACTGATCAAAAATGTCATTAATTGTCACAACAATTGATGTCATCATTCAATGTATTCATACAATCATTCAATGATTGTAAACATAATTCAAATTCAATTCAAAAATATTTGTCTGAATATTCATAACAAATACTTTTCAATCATTTGTTTGTAAACATAGGGACTGCTGTCAGGGACTGTCTCTACATTGAAAATACTATAAAATCAATAAACAAACAAAAATATTTAGTGAATGGCATTGAAAATTGTAATTTGAAATACAGGTAGAGATAAACAAACAATAATTATATTATAATTTATAATAATATTAAATATACTGTAATTTTTTTGTCGTTTAGTTATTAATAAAAACATATTTTCATTAGTCATTGACAGTAAAAACACATCATATGATGTGATAATAATAATTGATCTCATTTTGTGAACTATTTTTGTAACAATTAATTTATTTTGTTATAACACGCGGTAATTATTATTGTAATTATAATATAATATTTATATAATTATTATTATTGTTAACTAAATTTTTTTTATTTAAAATAATTGATTTAACCATTAGCTTTGTGACAATCAACTCAAACAACTGATGGCAATGTCGACAAACAGCGACCGCGAGGCCAAAGCCCGACAATTGATGGCAGAAGCGGACAAAAAGTTGACCTCATTTAACGGTTTGTTTGGCAATCTATTGGGTAAGCCGTCCAATGCCGTCGAGGAAGCCATCGATCTGTACATCAAAGCAGGAAATCAGTTCAAAATGTGTCAGAAGTGGGATTTGGGGGCCAAAGTGTTCACAACGGCGGCCCGACTACAGTCGCGGACAGGCGAACGACACGAATCGGCCACATCGTACGTATTGGCCGCCAACTGTTTCCGCAAATATGAACCGTACGAAGCGATTGGCTGTTTAACAAAAGTCATAGAAATATACGAAGAGTTAGGCCGACTGGCCATCTGTGCTAAACATCACACGACTGTCGCTGAGATCTATGAAACACATTTGCACGACACGGACACAGCTGTCAAACACTATCAGTCTGCCGCCGACTGTTACCGAGCCGAACATTCACTGGCGTCGGCCAACAAATGTCTGCTTTTTGTGGCCAATTCTGCGGCTCTCAGCGGCCAATATCAACGGGCTATCGATACTTACGAAGAAGTGGCCAAACATTGTATAGAGTCTTCGTTGTTAAAGTATTCGGCGCACAATCACTTCATGAGAGCGGCTCTCTGTCACATCTGTATCGATCTTCTCAACGGAGAGCTAGCCATCAAACGATACGAAGACCTGTTCCCGGCTTTCAGTGATTCTCGTGAATACAAACTCGTCAACACATTAATTGGTAAACTCGATGACAATGACATTATCGGATATACAGCGGCTATTAAAGCGTACGATTCAATATCCCGAATGGACCCGTGGTTTGTATCGATATTGTTGACCATTAAAAACAAGTATAACACCGATTCGGATCCCGATATGAAATAATAATTTATTGTTTATAAATAATAGATATATAATAATATATAAATAAGATTTTAATTTATTTTGAAAAATATATATAATTTTGACAAAGTTGTTGAAGTGATGTTTAATATTTTTTTTTTAATTATAATATCAACCGTATATTACCGGTAAGTTAGTTCACACAATAGTAATGGTAATCATTGTTTTTTGTGCACTTATTTCATATGTTTGACACTATTTGAATTATTGGCGCTCTGGTAGTCACATCCAGGCCAACGACACTGATATGGCTTAACATTATTATGAATATTTGATGATATGATCATATAGTTTACTCTTATTCATAAATAGTTAACCCCATTGTGGCCAAAGACATGGATACCGTTCCGTTTGAACTTACATATGACTGGTTTGATTGGATAAATTTGTATGCGTTTATAGTTATGAATTAACACCCGATGTCTATGTCTTTGTTTAAAAAACTTTTCCAGACATCCCTTTATTGGACACCGTATTGTTGGTTCACTCTTATGTTGTCTCATGTGTTGATCAGTATATCAAGTAATACATTGTAGTATGGATTGAATTAATCTTATATGAACTTCATATTATTAACTAGGATTGCCAGACACACAAAATGCAAACATACAAACATAACAATTTATATTTTATTATTTAACAATTACTATTTAAATATAACATAATAATATTTATTTAACGTTGCAATAATAGTTAATAATATAGTAAAAGTAATATTACATAATACAGTAATACATTATTATTACAATTGACTGCCAAAATGCAAGAAATACTCATAAATTGATGACTCTTATCAAAAATAGTACTAATCCTTAAACAAATGTAAAACTTTCTTAATCTCAATCATTTTGTTTCACATATTTTCAAAAATTTTAATTCACAACTATTTTAAATATATATATATATAAACTAACTTAAATATCTATTAAATTAAATTAAGTTAATAAGCTAAATTATAATAAAATTAATAAAAGTTTTAAATATGATTATTAGTTATTAATGTTTATTGTAAATTTGGGCCCTTTATAGATTACGTATTTCTTGCATTTTCCCTGTCAATTACAAAAGAGTAAAATTGATTAAAATTTTAAAAACAAAATAATTATAAAGTTATAAATTTGTTATAAAAAATATTCTTATTATTTATAATTAAAATAAGTAATAAAACATAACTTAGATTAAGTTTACATTAAAAATATTATTATAATTTAACAATTAACAATAATTTGAAAAATTAGAAATTTAAATGATAGAATTATAAAAAAAACGATTATTTAAATAAATTTGATCATGGTCGTAAATCTAAATCATTAACCTCAATAACATCCGACTTAGCATTAACTGACATTCTATTATAAATACAAAACTGTCCAACGTGAGCTTAATTCAAAAAGCATTAAAATTATTTTAAAAATTAATAAATAAATTTTATTCAAACAAAAAACATTTTAAAATATAGTAAATAGAAATTTTTAATTCAATGAATTAAATTTTCAAAATGTCTGCCATTAATAGCAATCAGAAGCAGAAGTCTGTTGTCGAAATTGGCAGACAGTCTACAACATATCCTGCGGTTTAGTCAATATCTCTTTTTCTATGTTTTACATGAGTTGGCCCATAATTTCTGGTGTAGAAACATAAACTCTAACTTTAAGATAACTCCATAAAAAGTAATAACAAGGTTTTAAATGCTGTCACTATGACTCATAACCACTACCTCGTGAGTAATAAAGGCAAAGAATAGCAACTCTTTGAACAGTTGAATAAGTGGTCCGTGAGGTAGCCATTTTGAGACTAATGTATTCAAAACAATCACAAGAAATTATCGAACTACCCATTACTCCATCTATACTTAAAAAACTAAAGTCAAATTTATGGCTTTTTCGATTGGACCACATTGTATATATACAATGATATGCATATTCGTAAGCTCTAAATCTAGATATTTCTGGTACATTAAACTTGACTCTTATTAAAGCATAAACACATTAAAATTGTAAATTATGTCGAATGCATTTAAATAAAGTTTAAAAAATAAACTTCTCAGTCTGCACTAGAAAATGATATTTGAGCAAAGTTTCATCTAATAACCTAACATCAAGTGTCCAAATATCATTTAATTCGACTAAAATACATGATTATAATAAAATAATTTAAATAAATTGCCAAATAGATTATTCTAGAAAACTATTAATAAACAAATATTATAAAAGAATACTAATTTAAAAAATAAAAAAAAACAACAAAACTAAAACTAATACACAATTAATGACAAAGTGTATAATTGCACTATATATTCACACATTGATTTGTTTATAGCGGTTAAGCTGTCGCTATGTATGCTTTGCGTGAGTCTGCCGATGATAGACAGCGACGTTAATGAGTTGACAGAGAGTGGTAACGGAAATAATTATTAGTTAATTGATTGTATGTTTGTATGAATGACTGGTTGTTGAGTAAGGAAAGTAATGGTTGTGATGAGTTAGTGTCTGTGCAGACTGTTTGTTAGGCAGTGCCATACAGTACAGCACAATAGGCACCACTCGTGTGGTAATAGTTTGTTAAATTTATAGTCAGTTCAGGTCAACAACAGTAAAACCTTTGTCAACACTGAGCTCTGATTGGCTATTGAGTGGTTGACGACAATGAAGCGATATGATTGGTGCTCATGTTCTGAGACCCTAAAGGTTGAAAAAAGGCATAAAGACTTGACATTCAATTAGCAAACTAAGAAAAACTAGTGGACACTCATGGCATTGATATTAATTTACAGTAAAAAACTGAAAAAATATGTTTATACTTTAACTACAATATATTTAATTTATTTGTTTTTTAATGTCCGTAAATGGGAAACAATGTGTTATTTGTTATATAAGTTAACAATGTATACAAAAATAATTTTTGGTGTGCAGTTGTGGTGCAGTTAAATCGCTTTATAATAAACAGTCCTTTTTGAGACCTCTATATATGCTTTTATTTATAACTAACACTTCTATCATATGTTTTGTTTGTTTAATATTTATTTATTTAAATACTGACGTTATTCATTGCCATTTTATAAATCATATTTAAATATAACTAAATTTTAAACTGTAATGTCTGCCTAATTGCTATGTCAACAATAAATGGGTACATACTGTAGTACAACTTGTACTGTACAAGTGCTATAATCAGGGTTTTAAGAAAATAAATGCCTGCCCTGGCAATGCCCAAATAGATGCCATAAATGCCCGACATTTTGGGCATCTATTTTATTTGCCTGACAATTTAAATTGCTAAAGCAACTATTTATAAAAATAATATAATTTACTGTTTTAACGTGTTAATTAAATTTACAATTAATTTACTTATTTCCAATAATATTACCTTTTAATTAAAGGTATACTAAACAAAAATACAAGCAAATATATTATAAAAACAATGTTTTATAAATAAATTAATAATATAAAATTAAAATAATAGGTGTCACCACCTGAAAATAGATGCCCAGGGCATGGCAGAGGCAGGGCAGACATTTGGCAAAATTGGCATCTATTGTTTATGCCTGCCATTTTTAAAAAAAACCCTGGCTATAATAGGTGTATATATTACTTGTTTATTGTTGCCATAGAAATTAGGCCGACATTACAGTTTTAAATATAATCTTTTAGTTTTATTTAAATATGATTTATAAAATGACAATAAATAACGTCAGTAAACACTACTTGGGATATCTTGGAATATATTATAATAAAAATGAAATTTTAATAATAAATTTATAATTTTTTAATAATCATTATATTTTAATAAAAATTCATTAGTAAAATACAGTAATTTATTAATAAATATCAATTAATTAAAAAAATTGTGTTTATAAAGTTAATAGAAATAAATATTATTTTAATAATCTATAATTTTAAACTTAAAATACAAACTTTTTTAAATTAAATTTATTAATTACGATAATTTCATTTATTTAAATAATATTTATAAATATAGTTAAATATTTCCAATTAATAAATATATTTATTTAGTTTTATTGTTGTGTTTATGTTTGAAGTGATGAACAACTCCYGTATGATGTGCTGACCTATAGTCACATCCGGGCCAATGACACGCAAATGGTTTAACATTATTGTGAATATTCAAGTGCTGATTGAGTTCTTCTCGTCGGACAAATTTGCGGTCACATTGAGGCCAATGACACTGAAAAGGTCGGACACCGGTATGTTTTTTCATGTGTTCAACCAATTGATATTTAGTGCGACAAACATATTCACAAGCGGGCCATTCACAGTGTACTATCTGTTTCATATTGTGATCATTTTCCCGATGTCTAGCAATTTGTCGGTAATTAAAAAACTTTTCGTTACAGTCGACTACAGTACACTTGATTGTCGGTTCACTTTTGTGTTGAGCCGAATGTATATTCAATGAAGATTTGTTAAAGAATTTACAATTACAACCATCAAAATCACAGCCAAACAGTTGGTCCTTATGAGACAATCGGTGCTTTTGATAACAATCTTTAGTATCAAATGATTGATAACATCTTTCATAATTACACTTAAATTGTTTTCCATTAGAATTATGATATTCTTGATGTCGTTTTAACTGATGATAAGATTTAAATGTTTTATTACAGTCTTTGTAACCACAATTCATTGATTGCAAACTACCGGTAATAGCAGTTGTGTGAATTAATCGGTGTTTTTGAAGTGTTTTATATGATTTAAAAACTTTACCACAGTTTACATGACTACACTTTATTGGTTTATTATTTTTATGTTTCAACTTAATTAGTGGTAAACTATTTGCAGTCATTTGTTTTATTTTAATGTTTTTAAAATCAGCGTTTTTAAGAGGAGGCGCATTAGGAGGCAGTATTAAAAACAGACGATTGCCTTCATTGTTGGCCACTAATTGCAGATTCTTCGATGGTAAAATTTGACTACTTTGTAGGCCACTACTAGTACTACTATTACGATTTGTCTCTGTATTAGTTGTGTGCGAAACAGTAACTTCATCGCTATTATTATCATTCAAATGTTTATTATTATTATTATTATAAACTTCTTGTACATCATCTGAATCAGACTCATGAATGTCTTCACTTAACCCAGTGTTCATATCTTGTGAATCACTCATATTATCGCTATCTTTATTATCATTTGTATCCATTAAATTACTTTTAAGTAGCGATAAGTCTTTCAATATTGGATTAGATGGTAATGAGTCCATGGCTGTCGATTGTCGGGTCTTTACTCTCTTATTAATATGTTGTGAGTAATGAAGTTTGTAATCCGTATACAAATTAAACATTTTATTACATAACCGATAACCACATCTGATTGGTGTCTCTCTATTAGCATCTTCTTTGTGCATCAATGAGTGATCTTTTAAACTGGTATTTGAATCAAATGTTTTGCCACAGTTAACATAATCACATTTAAATGATTTTTCATTTTTATGCGCTTCTTGTATGTGACTAATAATTAATTCATATGTTTTAAATGATTTCAAACATCCATCGATACGACAAACAAACTTAGCGTCAGATTTATCTGTCTTCTTGTCTTTAATCAATTCATCGACTTTTTGTGTCTCAATATAACAGTCATTACTAACGCATTTGAGTTGGTTTGGTGTGTCTTTCGGTGATTTATTAGATGGTAATGAGCTAACAATTGTCAATTGTTGTTGAGTCTGAAACACATTATTATTAGTAGTAGTAGTAATGTTAGACAATTTAATTAATGGTAAATTAGTTGAAGTCAATGGTTTTATTTTTATATTTTCTAAATCCGATGCTTTAAGCGGTGGTATATTAGAAGGTAATAATAAATACAAAAGTTTGCCTTCAATTTGATTGTCTGCCACTGATTGTGGTTTTATCGGTGGTATGAGTTGTTTACCACTACAACTGGCCTTTGCTTCAGTATTGTTCACAACAACAGCAACTTCTTCATTGTCTTTATTATTAATTTGTTTTTCATTGTTTTCTACTACTTGTATATCCTCTAAATCAGACTTATCTTTGTCTTCACCGAAATCATTGTCTTTCAATTTTTTTGTATCGCAGATATAACTGTTGGCATATCTGGCATCAAATCTTAAAAGATTGCGATTAGTTTCTGATAAATCTTTGTCATGTCTTTGACTGTAAATATAATTCAATTGATGTCTCAAATGGTTGAACTTGTCTTCAGTTTTAAGATGTTTCTCAAACTTCTTGTAAATTAAATTCAATTCACTTTTCAAATCATTTAAAATATTGAGACATTTGTTAGCAAACAATAACTCTTTGAAAAGTCGTTTGTTTTCAATCCACAATTGATCCAAAATGTCATCAATTGTTACAACCATTGATGTCATAATTAAATGTCACATTAATTGTAATCACAATTCAATATAATTACAATTCAATGAATGTAATCACAAATTAATTCATTAAAAGTCAAAAGATTTGATTCAAAACATTGCAAAACTTGTTTGGATTATAGTTTGTAAACATAAACATACTGTAGATTAAGGGATTGTATTCAAAATACAGTTCTATTAAAAAAATATTGATATTAATAATTAACAAATTAACAGACATTCAGGCATTAAATATCAAATACTAACAAAATATTAATAATTTTTTGAAAATTCTAAATAAAAACGATTGAATTTTAATTTATTTATATATAAATTTATATGATTTTTTTGAATAATTATATTTATAATTATTACCTAATGGGGGGGAAATTGAATATTTAAAAATAATTTATTACAAATTTTTGGTGCACTTGTTTTAAATGTTTTTTTTAATATGCAATAATTATTTTTAAAAATTTTTGTAAACATTAACAAACATCGAAATTTTGTATTCAAAATAAACTAACAAATTATTATTTACAAATTATCAAATTAAAAAAATATTTTATCTAAAATTAAAATTTATATCATTTATAAGACAATGAGTTACAATAATAATTACAATAAAATAATAATGATTTATTAGCTAATAGATAATGGAAAAAACAATTACATAATTAAAATATGATATATTCAAGATTTTTGGTGCACTTGTTTTATATGTTTGTTAATATTTGATTGATGAGCGCACCGGTACTCACATCCCGGCCAACGACACGCATAAGGTTTAACATTATTATGAATATTCATGTGTTGAGTGAGTCTATGTTTTTCGGCAAACCGTTTGTCACATTGTGGCCAAACACATGCGTGCGGTTTCTCTCCCGTATGAATTCTCTTATGAAAACTTATATTTATACCAAAATAGTCACATCCGGGCCAATCACACCGTTTTTTATATTTGATTTTACGTTTTTTGTGGAAAGATCTTTGATGTTTTTCGACCTGAGATCGGGTACAAAACTTTTCGGTACACCCGTTCACTGGACAGTTGAATGTCGGTTCACTTAAATGTTCTCTCAAATGTATATTCAATAAACTTCTATATTTGAATTGTCGCGGACAGCCATCAAACTCACACTTGATTACAATATCTGTGTGAATAAGTGAATGTCTTTGTAAATATTGTTGTAATTTAAATCGTTTATTGCAACCAATTATCGGACAAACAAATGGTCTATCATTTGAATGTTTGCCATTAATATGATTCTTCATTTGACTTTTGATTCGACACTTATAGTGACAGTCAGTGTACTCACAGCTCAACCATTTTGTGATGTCTTTCTCGTGAATTGTCTTCTCGTGTTTTCGCATATTATTTTTGTTATTAAAAGATTTATCGCATCCATCGTAATGACACTTATATTGTTTACAATTATTACTATAATATTTCTTTTTTATTTTCTTCTCTTCACACATCTTCTTGTGCGCCAAATATCTATATAAATGTACGAAAGACTTCTGACATGTATTTTTAGGACAAATATAGGTATCGGTTGTCTTCAAGTCATCCGATTTTTTAATCACTTTTTTTCGAAGACTTTTTCTTAATTTAATATTTCTTGTAATGTCTTTTGGGTTTTGTTTTCTTAAACAACTCATAGATTGGCGTTTCGTTGAAATCATTTTATCGACGACAATGTCTTCACTTTTAATATACACAACACGAGAGTCATCTCTATATTCTTCTTTGTTCTTCATTTCCAATTCATTATCCATAACTTCTTGTAATTGTTTGAACTCATGTTTGTCTTCTCCATCGATATGTTCTTCATATTTGTCAAACAATTTCATCAAAAATATCTTCAATTTGTTGGCAAATAATAACTCATTGACAAGTCGTTTGTTTTCATTTATTAATTGATCCAAAATGTCATCAATTGTCACAACCATTGATGCCATCATTCAATGTATTCATACAATCACTCAATGATTGTAAACATAATTCACATTCAATTCAATACTAAAAATCAATTAAAATATTTATCTTAATATTCATAACAAACACTGAGAAAAAAATCCTATTACTTGAGAGAGTAAAATTATACTGTAAATGAGTGTTAAATAAAAATTAAATAATTGTATATTAAAAATAAAACATTTTGTTAATATATAATAAAAATTGTAAATTTATAAAATAAAAATAAAACATTTTTACTCATGCGCAATATATTTAAAATGCAAACATTAATGTCTATTAAAAACTCTACACTCATTTACAAACACTGTACAAAAATAAAATTTGATTAAATAATTGATAAATATATCATTTTTAATATACATTTTATACATAAATACAATATTTAATCGATGTTTTTTAAACACAAAAATTATCAATAAAATGTATTGCAAGAAAGCCGACAATTCAAATTCTAATTAAAAAAAAGTATTTATCGATTAAAAAATCGATATTTATACATATATTTATTTTATACATTTTTTATAAAATAAATGTGTTATATAAACTGTAAAAAATTAATTAAATGAAAAGTTATAAGAATATTAATGCATATATATATAATAATTATTGTAAGAAAATAATAACTATGACTTAAATTAATATTAATATTAAAATTAAATGTTTAATCAAAAAATATCTAATTAAATTAAAACAATTGTAATTAATAAAATAAATATAAATTCAGATTTTTTTTTCAGTAAATAACTATTTTTTAATAGACAATTGTGGATTTTAAAAACAATTATCTAGTATTTAAAATATAAATATCTTTTTTAGTTTGTATGTTTATAAATAAAAATAAACACAAATGTCTATTTTAAATTCAATAATTATACAATATTTATTTTACATTTATTTTTATTGAACAATAATATTAAAATAAATAGATTTATGTTTAGTTTTAAAGCGATATTTTTATATTAAAATGTTGCCCTTTTTTAGTATTAATGCCCTATAATTTTAATAGACAAATGTCGATTAAATAATCTGTGTTTTGTCCGGCGATTATTTATCTATTTTTTAATCGATTGTCAATTAAATATTTTACAAATTATTTTATTTTTAAAGACATATATCTTAGTTTAATCAAACAATTTTCTCAGTGAACACTTCAATCATATGTTTTGTTTGTTTGTAAACATAGACTACGAGTGACTGTCAATGCATTGAAAATACTGTAAGTTTATATTTTTGACAACAAAAATGATATAAAAAAAGTCAATCAAATTATTTTAACAATTTTATGAGATATAGACTAATGTATTAAATAGTACTGCAATAAAATAAAAAAGTCAAATAAATTTATTAATTGTTGTAATTATAAAATTTTTATTAAAAAAATACATTAAAAAATTTATTCATAACTTTTCTTTTGGTGCATTTGTTTCCTATGTTTGCTAAGATTACTTGCATTTCCCGACCGATGTTCACATCCTGGCCAACGACAAGCATACGGCTTAACATTGTTGTGAACATTTAAATGTGTTTTAAGATTACCCGATGTTGTAAACCGTTTGTGACATTGAGGCCAATCGCAGACAAATGGTTTTTCTCCCAAATGAAGTCTCTTATGGACAGTCATCCCCTCCCCGATCCACTCACATCCGGGCCAATCACACCTGTGGTTAACATTTTTCCGAATCGCTATAAAGTTGTGGACTTTCTTCCGATGTCTGTATATCTCTTTATCGCTAAAGAACTTCTCCGAACATTCTTTTTCCGGACAATTAAGTGTCGGTTCGCTCTTATGTTCGGCAAAATGTCTTCTCATATCATATTTTGTGCGAAACTTTCGTTGACATCCATCAAAATCACAGAAAATTGTTTGATTTGAGTGATGTCTTTCATGATGTAATCCGAGACATGTTTTCGTTTTGAAAGTCCTAAAACATCCCTCTATTTGACACATAACTGGTCTGTCATTTGAATGTCTGTTTGCGAAATGGGTTTTCAGTTTATAAGGCGTAAGACATTCATAATTGCAGTCTTCGTAATGACATTTCTGTATATTTTGTGCGTCTCTTTCGTGTATAAATCTAATGTGATTTCGCAAAACATTTTTATTTGTATACTTTTGATGACAATCTGGATTAGGACATACAATAGTTGTGATATTTGATCTGTTAATAGGTCTACCAATTGGTTGACAAACAGGTTTGTCAACACATTTGCTATCAATTGTGTTAAACACTTTCATTTGTATCAATTTATTTATCTCTTTCTGTTTATTATTTGTCGTAATTTTGATGATTTTAAAATTTTTTATCGGTATTAATGATTGATTTTTTTCAACAATATTTTCATTGCTTCTCTGCCTTTGAATATTCACGATATGACTGTTCTCTTCAATCTCTTTATCCTTCATTTGAATCTCATTTTTCATAACTTCTTGCAATTGTTTGAACTCATGTTTGTCTTCTCTATCGATATGTTCTTCATATTTGTCAAACAATTTCAACAAAATTGTCTTCAATTTGTTGGCAAACAATAACTCATTGACGAGTCGTTTGTTTTCACTCCACAATTGATCCAAAATGTCATCAATTGTCACAACCATTGATGTCATCATTCATTCAATACATTCATTCAATAAATTGTTTTAATTTGTAATACAATTGACATTCAATTGACTAATAATTTGTTTGTTATTTAAATAACACTTCAATCATATGTTTTGTTTGTTTGAAAACATTGACAGTAAGGGACTGTCAATACATTTATTATTTGTCGCCTGAAATACTATTATTATATAATTTCATCACATTTACAGTTACTCTACAATACATATAATAAAAATATAATATAATTTATTAAGATTTTTTTAAGTTGATGCCACACTTTATATTAAAATTATTTATTAACTTACTTTAACTTCACTTAATAGCAACAATAATTTACATATAGTTGATTTGTATAAACTATTTTTTGCTATTAATTGATGTTAATGTAAGTTAATAAATAATTTTAAGTATTTTTATACAATTTATAATTTTTAAACTAATTATTTTAATCTAGAAAATAAATAATATTTTTTTAAAAATATTTATTTCTCTTAATACAGTAAATATAAATCTTAAAATCTCTTTTTAAAAATTATCATCTTTAATTATTTTTTACTTTTAACAGTTTTCTTAATATTTATTTTTACAATTTAATCAATTTGGACAATAAGTTATTTTTTGCATTTTAATTTTTTTGCTAACTATTGTATTAATTTGTTCAATTCATTGAATATCTTATAAAATAAAAAAAATATATAAACTTTTTATATAATATATATATATATATTAGCAATTTATTAAAATATTGCATTATATTAAAAATAAATATTAAAAATAACATACTGGTATTATTATTTATTGAATAACTATTATTAAAACAACATCGATAAAAATATTTTTTAATTAAATTGATATGTCATATATTAAATACAACTAATAAAAAATATCAAAAAACATTCCCAAAAAATCACTAAAACAAAACCAAAGAAAATTCAATAATAATAATTGTTAATATAAATTGATTTAAAATAGATAATATAAGCTTAAACATAAAATATCTGTACTTTAACTAACAATAATTAATTAAAATATTTTTATTGTAATATTAGTGCAGTTAATGAGATTTTATTTTTCTATAAAATCAAAGCCATCAGTCTAGACATTCATTTAAATAAAAAACAACAACAAAAATACATTTTCATTGAAATAAAAATAATAATATACAGAATTTACATATATTTATAAATATATTGTATATATCTTTAATTTGGTGTAAATGATAATAAAAATAATATATTTTATTTATATTTAATTGTTTTAGAATTATTTCTAAAATTAAAATTGAATTTAAATTGTGTCGGCAAAATTTAATATATTACATGTAATTATTATATTAAGTTTTGTCAAAATGTTGGCATTTATCCCAAATTAAAACCCATTAAATCTTTATAAATATATGATTTGTTATATATATATATTTGTAAATTAAATTTTAAAAAATAGATTTTATTTTTTTTAATTAAATTAAAATAAATGCTATAAAAAAGAATAATTTTGATTAATAATATTTACAATTACTAACAGAATAAAAATAAATTGAAAATACAAATTTTGCTAGCTCATTTCACAAATTGACAATAATTTACATATTTTATACAATAAATAAATTACTTGATAATGTTAATTTTTACACTAAATTTACTGAAATTAATCATATGCAACTTTATGATAAATCAAAAAATAATATATAATATATATAATAATAATAATAATGAATAAGCAACATGCATAAAATTATAAAAACAGCAATAGGATCAGGTGCATTTTACTATCAATTTTATATATAAAATATAACAAGTTTATAATACATGTAAATTGATATTATCATAACCATTAATATATTTTTCTACCTAGATACTTACAATTAAAAAAATAATAAATTTAAGATATAAAATGCACTCGAGATATATGTTTTATACTTCATATTTATTTAATCAATATTTTTTATTTACTATTACAGTATACCTATTAAAAAAAGTACTTATGTAAGATCATTTTATTTTTTAAAATAATATAAAAAAAACCTATTGCCTTATCATTAACAATTAATCAAACAGTATATTATCAATATATACAGTATATAATATTATTTATAATAAAATAATTTTTTTTGAAGTACTCTTTTATTATGTACAACAAAAAACAAATAATACAATTAATAACTATTGGCTCCAATAATAACAAAAGTTTTTTTTAATACTTTGTATTTTTGTCTAATGAGTACAACACTTATAATAGATTATATAAAACTTATATAAGTTATACCACACACAAACATATCATATGATATATACTATATATATATATTGTATTTTATTTTAATGATAGTTGACTACCCGTTACGGGTATTATTATTATTAATTTACTACTAATTTTTACAATACACTTAAAAAAGGGTTCCTAACGTTTTACGCACTGATATCAATGTGTGTCATATAATAATAATAACAAAATACATAATAACGTAATGATATTTATATATATAGATAGATACATATATATATATATATATATATATATATATATATATATATATATATATATATATATATATATATATATATATATATATATTACAATAAAACATTAATCAGCGCTCTATTTACATAATAAGCTATTATTTTATTATTTATTTTTTTCGGTAAAATAATAGTATCTAAAGTTTTGGTTTCGGTTTACTATATTAGTATACAATTGAAAATAAACAAGTTTCATATAAAAGAAAAAAATTAAAAAAAGGTTTTCAAGTCTAGTGGCAATTATTATTATTATTCATTAAAAACAATATATATTTTATAAGTACAGTATTATTAGTATACATATAATTTAAAATATATATATAATATATGAGACAATTCAATGTTGACGTAAACACTATTATGAAATACCTCTGTATTGCTATTACTGTATGTATAACACACTGACTGTATGTATGTATCAGTATTTGTAATGTAATGTATTGTAAAGCAATGCTCTAATTGTATGCATTAAAACACATACAAACATAGAGTGTGTGTATATATATGTATATACTGTATGTGTTGTGTATATATAGCACAACACATAACAACACATTAATAGTGTATAAGTTATACGACTGAAAGCTCCTCCCAATTGTATCGCCATTTGTTGGGAACAATTGCAGTGACAGTCGAGTGTCGCCACAAACTGAGGCCACAATCGGGTGTCTAACACACCATTGCATGGACTCGTCACCAGATAGTCGGTACAGTGCGTAGGGCTGAGAGCGTAGTGGACACTAACACACAAACACAACACTCACACACCGTCACAATGGCCAACAACGATGAGTCCACATACGGCCTGACGGCGGGCAACGAGACCGTCAAACGTCACTATCAGTCGCTTATTCACAAGTATGAGATGCTTAAAGAGGATCACGACTCGCTGCTCAAGAGATACTCGGATCTGGTCGGCAGTCACGGCCACTACGTGTCGAAGTTGGAGTTGGCTCACGAAGAAAACTTCAGAAACAGAGAATCGGTGGAGAAGTCAGTTCAAGAGCGCAATCTGGCCATTATTGAGATGAATGGTCTCAAACAACAGTGCACACAAGCCATCCGCAATTGGGACAAATCGCGTCGCGAGGCTATCGAATACAAGGAACAGTTGGCCAAAGTTCAGCTCCAGAGGGATGAAGTGATGAAAGATATCAACGTAACGATGACGAAGTTGGCCAAAGCAGCTAAAGATAACGCCCGACTCAGTGAAGAACGCAATGCAGCGCTTCAGGAGTACACACAGATTATGTCAGAAAGAGAAGATGTACTCAAAGAGAATGAAAAACTACAGAAAGAACAGGAAGTGATGCAAAAGTTAAACCAACAGTTGGAGACCGAGAAGAAACAGTTTAGTGAAGAGATCGAGAGCCTGAAGAGCGAGATATCGTCGGCACTGTTCGATAGGGATCGGCTTCTCAAAGTGTGCAACGATTTGCGCGAAAAATACAACGACTACGTAACTGGTATTAATGACGACCCGATCAGTCCGATTTGGCCGCAATCGCGATCCGGTCACAACTTTTGGGGCTCATCCTCTTCAGGTGTATCCAACACTTGGGCACATATGGTGTCGAAGAACTCGAATCTGGTGCTGTCGGCCGCATCAAGCAATAGTTCGGTGTCGACATTCAGTCACAATCAGCACAACAAACTATGCAGTAATAGCCGTCTGGATAACATTGATTTGGCCAACAGTGAGATTGAATCGCTACGCAAACAAGTGGAACGACTGCAGACGGATCTCGGAGAGGCTCAACAAGAGGTCGAAGTCTGTAAGCGTCGGCGCGATTGGGCTTTCAATGAAAGGGGCAAAATTGTATTGGAAAGGGAAAGCATTAGGTATGTCCTCAAATCACTAATTAATTTGCATTCAGTTAGATATCTCTTTTTCACAGAACTTTGTGCGACAAACTTCGTCGCGAAAGGGATCGGGCGGTCAGTGATTTGGCCGAAGCGCTGCGCGAATCTGATGATAGCAAACATGAAAAGAATGAGGCGATCAAAGAGCTAAAAGAATTAAAAGAGAAGATTGAAGGCATGAAACTGGACAGAGAGCTGATGGCTAAGAGTCAACATAACTCACAATTGGGGACCAATAATAGTAGTCGTGATTCAGCCATCGAAACTGATTTTCAAGAGTACGAAATTAAGACAATGGATGTCTTATTGAAACGCGAGCTTAAGTCCAAAGAGTGGGGGTTTACGTTACAGTCGGCCGATAAGTCATTGGTTGTGAGTAAAGTCAATAAGGATAGTGTGGCCGACGGAAAGTTAGCTGTAAGTGATGTTGTGATGAAAATTAATGAAATGTCTGTTACAAATGATATGAAGATTGCCAACGATTTGCTTAAGAAAAATGATCTGCAAATCCATTTGACAATTCAACGGAAACGTATGTCAAGGTTTGTTCAAAGTGTTACCTTTAATGTTGAAAATGGACTGGAATTGGGCTTAGAATTGGAAAGTGGTTATTACGTTAGTCGTATTAATGCCGGCTCTTTGGCCGCCAAAGAGGGTAACATAGCCGTCGGCGATCGGGTTATCTCAATCAATGACAAACCATTAGACGAAAACTCTGTTTTCGAAGTGATGCAAATGCTTGACTCTGCGCCGACTATTTTATTACAAGTGATCAAATCTCTAGCATTTACATCGAAATCGCAGTCAAATAGCAGCTCATCAATTGTCAACACTTCCAAAGGTAGCTCAGAGTCGACAGACTCGAAATGTTCGACTCATAGGGAAAGACAACAAAGAAAAATGGTTTCTTGTTGTTCGCAAACCGATAACAATCCAATTGTTAGTCAACCGAATGCAAAGCCATCCGTGCCTTCTATTTATAAGCCGATGAGTCGGATGAACGACGACATGACAAACAGTTCTGTCAATAATAAAAGTCTTAAGTCTTCCTTAACGAGTTCATCAGCACAGGCGGTGAAGACTAGCGCACCGACAGCGCCAACACTACTCGATAAAGCATACAATAAAATATACGGCGAACGCAAACAAAGTGCTAAAACCAAACAAGAAAAACAACAACAGATGAATAATAATAATAATAATATTATTAATAATAATAATAACAATAATAATAATTGTTTTCGTGATGAAGAGGTCAAGAATTTGGCCGAATTGGACAAAGTATTGGACAAATACGACAAGTATTCAAATGGAAAGTCAAGCGACAAGAGCTCTAAGTATACAAAATCGTCGAAAAGCTCTAAAAAGGATAAGAATGGCGGAACTTGGCCTAAATATAGGGGACATCCACCCATACCGTCTCTCCAGAACTATGGCAACGTTAACGCTGTGATGACATTGCATCCAATTAAACGCAAAGAGAGAAAATCGTTGGGTTTTATTACAAATCTATTTTCAAAGTCATCGGAGAAGTCATCTCCCGGTTTGTGTCATTCAATGATTATGTGATATTTGAAAAAACAGTTTAATAAAAATTTGATTTTCTTTATTCTAGTGTCGACACAATCAGAAACAACAACGATTACTGAAACTAATCGATCGCCGAATAATAGTATTAAAGAAGAAGCCATGTCGTCGTCTTCGAAGCCATCGAGTTATCTGATTTTCGAACCGTCACCAGAGGCAGCTATTGCCGACTACGAACGCAATTCGAAGCGCCGCTCAACGCTGTCCACTCGACTTCAAGCGCTTCCCAATCAAAAGACATCAATTTATTCATCAAACAGACTATCATTTAATGACAAAATCAATACACTCGACCTAAAGGTTTATCATCCGCTCAAAGCACTCGCAAATTCATCACTGGACTACTCAGTAGTATCGGCGCAATCAAAGGACAAGAATGTCTTGGATTACTATAAGCACAGAACTTATGTCAATCCAAGACAGATAAGACCGCATTCAGTGCACGACGTTCTCAGTAATGTCACCCAACCGTTAACGCCCAACACATTATCCATGACTACCGATCACTCGTCATACGACTCATTTCAGACATCGAGTACCGTATCTTCGGCACCTCCGCCGCCACCAACTTCGGCACCGATTCCTCCAATCCGAAGTACATCGACGTCTTCCTATCCGTACTATGCGCTGAACAACATGTCTCATCCGCAGCTGGAACTTCATGTCCATCACAATCATTATTCGGTAAATCCACATTTGAGTCGTGAGACGAATCAAAGCCGAACTGTTCAACACAGTAATCATCCGCAGAGTCTTATACTCGGATCAATCTCCCGAAGCGGCGATTCATTGCTGAGTGCTAATGACAGTCAACTGAATCCACACGACTTAGCGCACTCGCGATCGGTCAGTGCCTATGAGGGTGGCATTGGTCACTACGGTATGAAAGGAAATCTGGACAATCGGTACAGTATTACGTCATCGCCGTCGCCATCGCAGTATATTAGTGGCCTGTTTGGTGGTGTCTCTCCATCTCATAGTATGGATATTATAACAACGATGCCTTCAGGCGCTCACTTTCACAATATTGAGGTATAAAATATTTGCAATAAATTATCTGATGATCGATAGGCCATTACATTCACAACAAGAAATAAACTTTTAAACCACTTTTTTTTATTATTGTCTATTACTCACTCATTCACTAACTCACTCTAAATAACATTTTTTACTATATTTTTAGTACATTTTATTTATCATTAACTAATATTTTATTATTAATGATACTTTAGTAATGACTTAAAATTAATGTTTAAATTGATGTCTCAGACAAAGCGATTGGTTGCACCACAACACAGCCATCCGAGTCATATACACCATACGTCCATCAGTAACAATAAGAATGTCTACAGAAGCGATGAAAACAATGTGGGAATTCCATCGTTTGACGGTTTGTCGACATTTCCTAAACGCAGTCAACGTTTCCGTATTTCATCGAATCCGAGCGTCACCTGTAAGTCATCAGCGGGCAGATTGTCGACGAGTTCTATAGATAAGACTTCGTCTACTGTATTGTCCGATCGGGAAAGTCCGATGCCCTGTACTTATCACGTTGAATGGCTCACACCTACCAGTGGATCATCACATGGTGGTCATCATCGAGTTGCAGCACCTGGTAATTAATTACACACATAATTATAGAATAAATTAAATATTTAGACAATAATTTTTTATTTGTTTTAGGTGATCAACGAAATATATCCATTGACTTAAGCTCCGGTACACCGATGGGCATTCAGATTAGCGAATGTCCCGGTGTTACAGGTGGTGTGTTTGTGTGTAACGTTACCGAAAACAGTTTGGCCGACCAGGCGGGAATCCTGGTTGGCGACCAGTTGCTAGAAATATGCGGCATTAATATGCGTAACGCAACCTTCAATTTGGCGGCTAATGTGTTGAGACAGTGCGGCAATAATATCTTAATGCGTGTTCAATACAATCCCGACAAGTTTAGAGACATTGAAGATAATGACAACGTCTCCGATGATAATGTAGACGCTGATGATGACGATGACAATCAGGAATAGGATTGAAAAACAAATCCATTACCAAAATATATATATTCCATCCCATTCTTAAAATCATAGACATAGAGTCCCAACCGGTGCCCCCAATCCCGTACACCAATACTTGTGACCACAAAACTGTTGGATCAGTAAACGTGACGCTCTCTCTCTCTCTCTCTCTTTATTCTCTATTTCTTTTATCATATGTTGTTATTGACTATAAATTTTTAAAATAATTTTTATTAAAGAAAATAAAATAAAAAATAATTACTTTTAAAACAACATTTTTATTGCTGAGATTTCATTCAATACAATTCAAAAAAAGAAAACATTCAAATTCAATACAAAATAATAATAATTATTAAAATTACAATATTATAATTATAATAATAATATTTGTCAATATATATGAGATTTCTCAGATCATATCATCAATAAATTGTTTTTTAATATAACATAATACCAAGCAATCTATAATAATTATAATTAAGCATAATCAAAATGAAACATATTTTCAAACAAAAAACACAAATCCAACATGGTACATTACAGTTTAAAATGTTTTTATGTAAATATTTTTTGTTTGTTTGCAACACTAAAACAATTTTGTTTACAATGATTTGATTACAAAATTGTTTTTAATAGATTTTATTTGTTTTTTTTGTGACAAACAATTTTTTCAAATATAATTCTAATTACAATTATGAAGATTTTTACTTAAATACCAATTTTTTAAGAAAAAAAACAGAAAAACACTAATTTAAAGTCATATTACATTTTATCGAAAATATGTTTATAATAATAATATTATTATGAAATGTAATGTATATAGATATATAAATATAAATATATATTTATAAAAATTAACTAAATTTAAAATATATGTATTTTTGTATATAAATATTGCAATTGTTTTGCGATTTAATTGGCACTTAATATTTTGATCGTCAAAAATCTTGAAATATATTTTTTTATTTATATAGAAATAGTTTATTGCTTTTTTTTTGTTCTGTAATTTGTTTCAAAAAACTATAATTTTCACTTTTACAACAAATGGCAACTCGTTTACTATTTTAAATATAAAAAACTATCACTAATAACAAGTTAATTATAATAAGTAACTTATTTGATTGTAAATATTTATATATTTATATATTAAGTTTTTAATTTTAATTAAATTGTAATTGGTAATAATTTTTTGTTAAAAATTAATGACACATTGATCGGGGAGGCGATCATACAGTAAGTACACGATATATAACTATATAAGTAAGTACTCAACTAATAATAATAATGATTAACCCAATAATAATAATAATAATATTAATAATTATTAATAATAATATTTTAAGTTATTTGTGTTTATGTGTGTGTATTGTTTGTAAATGTTAATATAATTATAATATTAATTTTTTGTTAATTATAATTATTTTGTGTGTCATTTATTGGCACTTAAGTCCTAATAATAATAATAATTATAATAATAATAATAATATGTATGAAATAATAATTATTGTAAATTAGTGATCAGTTTCATTACCCCACACATACAGGTGTGATGAGCAGGTAAGTCATATTGCGTTAGGAATATTACATATAAATCAAATTAATTCATTAATTCAAATTAAAAATAGACAACAATTAAGAAACAAATGTTTTGAATAATAATAAAGTTGTAATTATTTTTTTAGACAATAAACAAATTTTGTTTGATTGTGTGTTTAGTTTTTTTTAAAGACAGTAGTTATAAGGCACGTCATTATAATAATTATAATTAATAATAGTTACATATAAATGGATAGTAGCTTAAGACGCGGGTCTCTGTGTGATGGATACCGTATCATACGGTATATATCGGTTAGTGACGGTATTGCGCTGTCGCTTATCCTTTCCAATCGCACCTGTATCATTTTCATTGTAAGTATTTGTGTGCACGGGAACGGTATGTGATTTTTTAAAATTTATTTGAAGTAGTGGTAGTAGTAGTAGTAGTGATGAGCAGTAGTTTTTTATATTTGTAGTGGTTTTAGTCAGTAGTGGTCAGACAGTAGTGGACAACAGCACAGTGTGTATGAGTGAACAGTTGTTTTGTTTGTTTTTCAGGTGATTAGTAAAGAATAAAAGCATTAGTCAATTAATATTTTGTAATATAAATCATTTTTTAGCATTAAATTAATTTTTAAAAAGTTATCATTAATATTGAAAAATTAATTAATTAATAACATATAAATTATGATAATTATATATCTATAAGACTAAATAATAATATTATGGATAAAATATATTAATTTATGGCTAAATATAAATAAGGCGTATATTTTTTGTTTAAAAAATAATAAATAAAATCGTAAATTATAATAATAAATTTTATATTATAAGACTAAAAACAATTAACTATTTCAATAACAAATGCTTATAATAGTTATATTTAAGTAATAATAATAATAATAATAATAATATAAATAATTGTATAAATAATATTTATATTCAAAAAAAAATTTCTTATAGTTCACTGAGATATTCATATAAAACACTTTCCAAACAAAAAAATATAGACTAATATAATAATAATATAATACATAATTGTATATACAAATTAAAAACAAATATATTTATATTTTCTTATAAAATCATAACTTTGTGTCAAAAATGGCTTATTTACATCTTTTTATATATAATTGCAGTCAAAAAAATGTCAATAAATCTATAATAAGTTTTTTATGGAAACTTTTATTTTATACATTAATTATATGTGACTTATTTTGTGTGTTTGTTTGTTTATAGTTAAGTGTATATACTGTATGTGTGTGTTTGTGGGGTCAAAATATGTATATTCAATTATTAAGTAAATATTTCAAATTAATGATCATATTTTCAAAACAAAAATCATTTGTGTCTCGCATATAACTATATACAGTATATATGCATTGAGACACTTATTTAAAAAAAATCAAAATAACCGAAATAAGAGAAATTATTTATATTATAAATAAATTAATCAATCATTAGCTGCCACTAAACAGAGTACTGTGCAATCAATTAAGTGTAAAATTTATATTATAATTAGGGATTTTTCTTTTTTTTTTGCTACGCTATGACTATAAATATTTTCGAAAAAACTATTTTCTATAATTTTTGTTATCAAAATTTTTTGCGTATTTTTACAATAAATAATGATTTTCAGTAATTTTTTGGCACTTAAAAAAAATTATCGACGATTTTTGTTCTCTCTCTCTTATTGAATAAACTTTTTTTAAAAATGTAGTTTTTTTTGGTCCCAATAAATATTGTTTAAATAAATATAGATATTTTACAAGTCTGTGGCACAAAATATTTTCTTTTTGTATTTAATATAAAATAAAATCTCAGTATTAAAATGACTATATATATAATTTTTGTAGTTATTTAAATATATACAATATATTTGAAAAAAGTACAACTTATAAGATAATACTAAAATTTGAAATTTAAAATATCTATATAAGCTATTTAATTATTTATATAATATTATAATTTCATTATTTTATAATACACTTTGATTATTTAACTTAAAGCTCTACAATTTATATATATATATATAATATTTTTAAATTAAAACTTAAGCAATGATAAAAATTACAAATATTGTTGCATTAAGTAGTTTTATATAATGCTATTTTAAATTAAATTAAAAACTGTTTATATTGTTAACTATTGCCAGAATTTCAATTCTTTAACAAACAAAATATCAGAAGTTTAACATAAAAAACAATTATATATAATAAAACAATTCTTTAAATAATTAGACCACATGTGGACCCATTAGAATTGATATAATTAAATAACAATAAGTATCATTAAATTTAAAAACGCATCGCTAAAAATATATATATTTTTTTAAAGTGCCAAATTAAAACTGTGTATCTTTTATTGAGACCACTTTTTTAAAGGCCTCACTTTATTTCAGTCCCTGTCCTTCATTCTATCTGTCCTTTTAGACAGTACTCGGTCAGTGATCATTGAGGTACTCCTAGTGATTGAATGCATGTATTGATTCATGTCTTGTATAGCTTTTTTGTTGCAAAAAAACAATATATATATATTAACAAATAAAGTTAATAACAATAATAATTAAAATAAATCATTAATAAATATCTTTAAAAAAAATTCAATGATTTCTAGTCTATATCTCTCTTTCTATATATATATTTATATAGTTGTGTATGTGTTTGTTTCCGTAGGAATATATCACAGTGTTTATGAAAATATATACTAAAATTTAAGTAATTATAATAATTAACAGTTCAATCGTATAAATAATTATAAATTATAAATCAATTATAATTATAATAAAAACGAAGATATAATTTATGGCACATATTTGTGGCCATTAATTCAATAATAAAAAGTAAAAATTAAAAAAAAAGTTCTAATAGTAATTGTCATGAATTATATAACTGGAAATACTATTATAGGGGGCGTTATGTCAACGCGTTATAAACCCACCGGTCGATGTTAGTGTGTCGATAACGGCGGTACCCGTATGGGTGTTCGGGTAATCAGCCAACAAAGCTGCCGCTTGAGGTGATGTAAGAGCTGCCGCGAACTGACCGGCGTATTCCGGATAGTGATACAGTAGATTGGCATCTGCTGGCGATATCAGTGGTGGAGGTCCGCCGCCATTGAGTAGTGCGGCACTGGTAGGCATAGTAAACTGCCTCGAGCTTATAATTAAAGGTGCACCAATCGGTGTGGAGTGAGCGTGGTGACGTAACGGTGTGGTCAGTGTTATCGGATATTGTGTCAATTTGTGTAACTGATCCGCATCGAAACCTAATTGTAGAGATGGATCAACTAAAAAGACATTACAACCGATTACAATATATATATATATGAATTAATTGGTTGTAATTAACTAATAAATAATTATAACAACAAAATCAATCAATTGTTGACAATTTTTTCTTTAATGTAATCTACTTACTATTACGTTGACTACTGTCCCTATAAGTTCCATTAATAATAGCCAACTCCATGAGCTGCCGTTTTTTAAGCTCGTCCTCGCCCTCAGTCTTGAAATTACAAAAAAAATGGAAAAACAAAACTTTTAAACTAATTTTTTTCTAACACATTAAAAATCATTTTGTTTAATACTAACAATAGGAATCAAAAGCTTTTTAATCTCGTCGATGGCCTTTTGAATCTTAACGTTGGCCCTATTGTTCGTGTCTTCAACAGTGATGAGGACATGTAGTTTGTCATTGAGGTGTTCCCAATTAGGTTTGCCTCGATTTGCCTCTTCCTGTTGTTTTGTGTAGTTGTAAAAAAGTTTCATAAGTTATTATAACAAACAAAAACAAAATAATTCACACAAAGCGCTGGAATTAGTAATACAATTTTAATATATATAATATAACTGCTTTAGGACTAAATTTGTACTGTACTGTACATAAAATAAATATAAAAAATTTAAATTATTATGTTGTTTAGCGCTTTGTATACAATAATAATACAATACAGTATTTAGTTTATGGTTATATAGTTAGTATAAAAGGATATCATCATTAATACGATGAAGTAATTTAGAGTGAAAGTGATTTAAAACAATATAATGACAGAAAGGGAATCATTAAATTGGGAAATACGGTATATTACGGCTCATAATATTATTAATATTAATAAATATTTACCATTTAGTTCATGAATACAAACACACATCTTATGTAAGCATTTGAAAATACATTTATTAATAAATGCCTAATGTTTAAGACATGAGTTTATGAGTCATCAGAAAAAATATTTTAATAATTTATTAATAAATGTTTGCCTTTTTCTATAATAACCAATTTATAATTACCTTTTGAATTATTAAATAAAATGTAATATTAATCACAATAATAATATAATTAAAAAAAAGTAATAGCTTATTAGTAATTGATGAGATCAAAGGCATCATTTAAAAAATCACAATTAATTAGCAAAAATAAAGTGTTATTATTATTAATAGTATATATATATAAAACATTCACCTTTTTCTTGTCTCTCATTGATCCCCTTCCTCTGACCATAATCTTACAGCCCGTCTCCTGTTCTAACTGTTTGGCAGTCATACCTCTGGGACCCAAAATTCTGCCCACAAAATTGTACTGTTTGTTGGCAATTCATTATCGACCGATTGTAATCATATAATTATTCAAATAAATAATAATAAAAATTTTAATTATCGAAACAACAATAACATCTATGATATAAATCTAAGAGATTAGTGGAAAAACAACTATTAATGTGTATCACTTAATTGGATAACATAAACCATTACAATTGGGAAAAGGGTTCGGTAGCTCTCAACAGGTATACTAACCTCTGGATGTTCATCGACGGGAACATACACTTTCTCCTGTCTGGATACTGCGGTTCCCTCGGGCTCCGGGAGTACCATTGGTTTCTTCTCGACGCCATTTAATTGAAACAAGTTTTGACGCACTCTATTAATTTCTACATTTATATACATATATAAAAATAGAAACAAATTTTCATAAAATATATATTTATCATTGCATATGAAATAAAAAATTAAAATTCAATTAAATACTATATGGTAAAACTTTTTTCCACTTTCAATGTAAAATTTATAACTCACACACTGATTGAACATAGCATACATCAACAAAAATTATTTACCAAAATATATGCACGCGTCAACACATAAATAAAATTTTCAGCTAAAATATATACATCTTTTTTAAGCAAAAAAATGTTTTTAAAAAATACTTTTCATTTATTCCTCTCTCTCTCTCTCTCTCTCTCTCTCTCTCTCTCTCTCTCTCTCTCTCTCTCTCTCTCTCTCTCTCTCTCTTTCTTTCTATGTTAAAGACAAACTCTTTTTAAGTAATAAATATCTTTATATAAATACTATATATAAAGTACAGTATATTATACACAGTATAAACTTCGAATATAACTTTTGGAAAATAAGTCTAAACTTTTATTTATATATATTTACAGGACTGCATCACTTAATTATAGATTCAAATGGTATATATAAATCACATAAAAAAATATCATATATAATATCCGATAGCATAAATTCATAATATATAATATATATATGTTAGCAAACAAAAATATACTAATATTTGAGGCATATAAATTGACAAAAAAACAAAAATATTTTTTTTTTCGTTAAAAGAAACAAAATTATAATTCAAATATTATTGATATGATTTTTTTGTTGGCTTTATTTACTCATAAATAATATAAAATACATTATATTTACAAAGTTTTTAAAGCCAAGTCATAAATTTTATGTTTAATTATAAGGAGCGGATTATATAACCAAAATACCATAAAGTCTATTATAATTCAAATCAATTTTCTACCCAAACAATGACTATTAGTTTTTAATGGTTGGGAAAACTCGCCACTAATAGGGGTTGTATTGTATAGTGAACTGTACTGTAAAAAATCACTTCATTATAATAATAGTGAATACAATATAATAAAATTAATATTATAATAATAAGTAAACTCATTTTTAAATAATAATAATATAATAATTCAAACAAGTTTTATAATATTAGTTAACCACACATATATTATATATGGTTATTGAATCATTATATGTATATACTATATATATATATATACTGAATATTTGGCAAAACTTTTTTTTAAAACACAATACACTTAACAATAAGTAAATTTATAATTCATAATTCATAATAATAGTATTAGTTTATTGAAAACAATTTTCACAACATTGAAAATATGCAAAATTATAAATCTAATTATAAAAACTTTTTTATTTTAGAAATACAAATAAAAATATAAAAAACTATGACAATTCATTTCCTAATTCTACAATCAATTTTAATATCAATAGGAGACGATTAACTTATTGACAAATAAAATTAGTGATAATTTTTTTTAGTAATATTATATAGTGATTATAAAAAAATTGGGGGGAAAATGTTTCTACAAAGTTTATATGTAAATATTGGTTCAAATTAATGTGTAAATTTCCGGTAACTTGATATTTTTTGGAGTTATTATCCATCAATAGCTTAACTAAACATGATTAAAAACAATATACAAATTTACTAATTAATTTTCAATTCAAACATAAAATATAAATTTTAGTTAAAATAAAAGCTTTCCCTATTTGTAGTTTGCATTTCCCACTCAACTATTCCCACTATTTAAAAATATGTATAATAATCCCAGCAATTAATTGCTACATAATTAAAATAATATAAATTGTATTAATTTCAAAAATTAAATAAATGGGTCAATAACTATAGAATAACAATTTGAGTTTTAATTAAAACTATTGGTTAATTGTGATACATTTTTTACAGTATATTTAATGTTTAGATAGATTTAGACACAGACAAGTGCTGTATATTAAAACTAAACATAAATATCAATAACACTCATTAAATATATATATATATTAAAAATCTGTTAAAATGTTCAATTAATTGTAGTATTTTTTAGGAAGTCAATCGTTATATATACATATACACATGTATATATATATATATATATTCGTACACATAAAGGGTTTAACTAATAAACATAAGCTAACTGTTCCCAACACTGGTATTACCATTAATAATAATAATATAAAATAATACAATACTTTTAACACATTTTATGGGTTGTTATCACAAAATTGCGTTGATTAGGGTTTGTTATCACAAAGAAAAAGGTAACACAAACAATATATGTATAAAAAGTGCCGTCAATTGAGGGGCTGGTATGCAGTCAACTCGTGTTCAATTCAAATACCGGGCTATATATTAATGGGGGTCGACATCAGTCATGTCATTCAACACTTATAAGCAATGGGAATCAAATTATATACATAACTTATTATATATAAATATATATAATAATTTCTAAAACATTTGCCAAATGAATGGCAACCATTAAAAATAATCTAATTTTTTATATACATTTGTCGGGTAATAAAACGGCACATATGAGAGACCAAACAAGTGCTTTATGTCAACACAGATTTGTCTCAAAATACACGCCAAATACCAATGGTTATAATAATGTGTTTTTAACAATAATGATAAAATATACATTATTACAGTATAAAACTTAATTATAAGCTATCGTGTTTTATATTAAAATAAAAAAGTAATATAATCAGTAAATATAATAATATTATTATTAAATAATAAACTTAAGTTTTATGGCAATTGATTAAAAATATACTGTAAATATGATACGAGTTAATATAATAGTATATTAGAGTTTCTGTATATAATTTACTCAAAAGTTTTCCTCTAAAAAAAAGTTTATTATTAGAAAACTTCATCTAAATTACACACAAATTCAACCATTTATATAAATGATGTCTACACACACTGTACTCACAAAAATGCTAAAATCAATATTTTTATTATCATTGCAATTAGTTAATAGTTTAATAATAATCTAAGTGCCGTAGCACAGGAGCGCCCTATAATAGGGATAGGCATTAGCCGTCAATCAAAGTTGGGATTTGAATCGCTTGTATACTTAATGATAAGCCGTTCATATCTATATGTGTAGTAAATATATATTATATAATATATATTTGTATTAAAAAATACAACATTTAATGTTAAGCTCTTTAATCAGTTTTCAAACCAATTTCATTTCATTTATTCATTGAGTGCCACTTCAATGCCTACAATGTGTTAATCTATATAATAATATTAGATATTACATTAATTACTTATAAAACATATTTGATATCTAATATAATAAAAAGTTGTGTATATCAATATTATGTTTGTGATTATAACAATATAATAAAATAGTAAATATAGTAATATCTTAATGATATACTTATATATATATTATAACTAATATATTAATACAGTTGAGAAATTATTATTATTATTATTATTATATAAACTTCAATTAAATAATCAAATAAATGTCTACATTTGATATGAAATACAAACTAATTAACTATAATTTTGGCGCTTAATATACCTATAAACATCAAATAAATTAAATAACATTTACTTAACATATATACAAACATTATATGCTAAATAATCGTTTGGTTTAAAAAATAATACTAAAGTATAAATTAAGTTATAAAATAATTTATATTATAAATACTGGTTATTTATATGTTTTAATTATCAATTAAAATAAACATTATTTTTTAAAAACCTAAAAATGTTTACTAAATGGACAATCAGTATAATATTAAACTACAAGTATTAGTAGCTATAAATGGTATAACTATTAATTGAGCTAAAAATATAATTATAAAATTAAATATCCTTATTTTATTATTACTACTAAACCATATTGATAGATGGTTTATGACAAAATTGAAATATAAAAATAAATCATTCAATATAAATCACATGTGAAAATTGTTTGCCAGCACACACAACGTTCCCCAGCAAATTGATGTCACTATCAATATTTGGTGGTATTATTAATAATATTTAGATCTTACGGCCCACACAGTGGGGCTAACTAACTAAAAAAACAACATATTGTAGGTATTACTAAAACTAAATATAAAAAAAATCTTTTATATAATTAATTTTTAATTTCAATGTATTTTATACTGCATTATATATTATTCAAGTCAATGTACAGGTAATATGTTTAGTCAATGAGGAGAGCATAAGGAAAGGGAGTATAAAAACATAAACACAACTGAGCTTATGTATGTATATGAAGATAAGCCATCACCCAACAAAATATCAGCTGAATTTTATTTGCCGCTAATTATCGGCAAAAATCAATCGCTGGGCGACCAAAAACCCACTTAATTGTCATTTATGTCATAAATTACAAGAAAAATCTAATTTCGACAATATTTGATAAATATTTTCTATCAATTTTCGACATTTTGTAAACAGATTTTCTAACCATTAAAAAATATGACTCTCCCATTAAAAAACAAGTGATTGCAAAATATATAAAGAGGCGATTAAATAGTTTCTGAAAATAAAATATCAAAAACAAGAAATCATTTTTCTCCCTCTTTTTCATAGTCTCTCTCTCTCTCTCTCTCTTTCACTACCATAATCTCTCTCTCTCTCTCTCTCTCATATAACCTCTCAAAGAGGTCCATCAAATTAAATAAGGACAACAACTGTGACACTAACAACAACAACAATATTAAAACCAATGCATACATACATTAACAATGACAACAATATATGAAATATGAATAGTCCTAACATAAGACATTCAAACACATACCTTCATCGAGGAGGCGCTCGATGTGGAGGAAGACAGTGGGAAATGCTGCCAATTGTTTCCTATCTTTAAGAAGTTGTGCCAAATAGTCGGCCGTCGACTGCATCGACACATTATTGTTTGACGAGTTGGTCGTCGCCGAAGAGTTACTATTTTCACCCATTGATTATATATATATATATATGAAGAAATTATGAAGAGAAGACACACTGTGTGAATGAATAATAGGGAACAGTTGGTGATAATTATAATAATAATAGTGACAATTGGCGGTACAATATATGATATTTGATGGACAGATAGATAGGACGGATGAATAGGATGAGCACAGATAGTGTTTTTTTGGACACAATAAGAGAGAGATCAAAGATCGGACAATAAGTATATGAATACCTAAAAAATATGAATACGGTTTTCAATGGGACGGTTGGTTGGCTTGTTTTGTGGCACTTAATTGGATGGCGTGGTAGTGACTGGTCGGTCGGCAACCGTTAAGATGATGGCAACAAAAAAGTGGTGGCAATGGTTGCCAATGAATGTATCATCACTTATGGGTTATGTATGCAATCGATTGGTTTTGGTCGACGGCTATCATCAACAACAGCAGTAGTGATGGTATTATCACTTGTTTTAAAAAACAAATCAACAAATGATGGACTGTTTGTTGTTTAACAGTGCAATGCATACAAACAACTGATAGCTTAAAACTGTAGATAAATGTGATGTTAACTTATATTATATTATTAATACTATTATATGTTTGGCTATGTTTTGTGTCCCAAAACAATGCTAGTGTTGTATAGACTTGACTAATGCAATCCAAATACTAGTTTAACATTGACTCAAATGAGTCTCTAAAAACTCTCCCAAAATGTTTTGCACTGATTTGCAAATTATTATTTCCAATGACTTATACTACTAGTTGCTAGACTAGTGTTGTACTGATACTATACATAACAAACTAGTTGTTTAAACTTATATACTTGAATGGGACTCAGTTTTATGTGTGGAGTTAACAGCAAACACATACACTCACGCACTGATACACTAACTGAGCTCAAAGCAAGCAAGCAGTTAGTGATGGTCTTACACTATGTGTATGTATGTATGTATGTATGTATGTGTGGGTAACAGTGCAGTGCTCATCCATTCTAAATGGCCCAACATCTCTCAAAATCAATGCAACCAATCCAGTATAGGTCCCATATATTCATACATACATTCATACATACATACAGTACACTACATATAACCGCTATATTATTATATACAGTGTTATACACCCTTGCATTCAACTCTCTTATAAAAACTCTATTTTTAGTACAATTATACTATGAGTGAGAAAACTTTTTGTGAAAATTTTTATTTTTATAATAAACATTATATACTGTATACACACATAGTGTATAATCCTATGCTATATAATACTAAAAAAAAAAAAAAATTAAAAATTATTTATCAATTAAAAATTTATCCATGATTATAGTTAATGTATAATTTTTTTTATAAATATTTTAATTTATAAGTTTGTTTATTTATTATTGTTTTTGTTTGGTGCAAAATTTGTATTTGTTTAGCATCTTGATAAGTTTTCATATACATATGTATATACTGTATATATAAATATATAACTTTTTTAGCATCATACATTATCAAAAATTATAGATTCTGGTAGATGGCGACACTAATAGATAATTTTACTATTAATTAATATTGTAATCACTATTAATAAGTAATTTATTTTCACATTTATCAATTAAATTAATAATAGTAAAAATTTTTATCATTTATTTTTTTTAATATTAATAGAAATTGCCAATAAGCTATTAATTTAGGAAATTAATAGTTTTTAAGTAAAAATTATATATACCGGTGTATATTATATTATAAGTTTTAAATAAATATTTATTATATAGAATTTTTATATATAAATATAAAACTAATCAAACTTTAGATTTAGAAACTGTTTTGTTTTGTTTTTTTTTTGTTATCAACTAAAATGTTTATATGATATAATATAAATTTACTACAATTTTGTACAATAACTAATATAAACACTATTGAGATATTTGATGGCAAAAATATAATAATAATTTCAACAAAAATCTCTTACGTAATGCCCTTCACAATGTTAGCTTAAATTTTGTATTACATTTGATTACATCTATTCATTACACAACATATAAATATCCAAAACAATTATAAATGTGAAGCCTTACAAACACACCCAACCAGTAACCCCACGCCACCCAACACACGACATAACCCCAACCACACATCAGAAGCATTTGAATGTTGATAATAACAATATTGTTAGGCAACTATTATCGCTTTAGATAATGAGACCAAATAAATAAATTAATTAAATTTTCATAAATTATATTAATATTCATTTTTTTTATTCATAATTGATAATAAAAATTACATGAGTATTTAAATTTTTTATGTAATTTTTATTTAATAATATAATTTAATATAAAGTTATTGGTTTTTTTTCGGCTTATCAGCTATTATTCAATATATTGTTTTATTTGTTTTCAACTTTAACTCATTCATTCAAAATTATTCAATTGTATCTGATGTATGACCCCAACTAAACCAAAACCATATATATCATATACCGGTATATATATATATAAAGTGGTTTATCAGAAAATTTGATTAAATTTAATGTTTTCAAACAAAAAATATTTCAATTATAGGCACAGAATAACCATATAATAATAATTTATTATTTTACCTACATTTCTATTTTAGCATATCTTTCTCTCTCATTTGATTTTATTTATTTATTTTATTATTCAATGAATAACATTATATTGTAATAAATGAAATGAAATTAAAATACATAATAAATCTTAAATAATATATTCAAATAAAATAAAAAAAAGTTGTCCAAAAAAATACAGACGATATCACTTTCTCATCGGCTAAACTGTCGCTTATCTTTCTGAATGGGAACCGCTTTATAGATAATTGATTTTTGAGTCCTCTTTTTGGTGGTCACACCGTGCGCATAGTTAGGCTTTCTACCAGAACTACCTTTCCTATAGTTGACATTTCTGGCACTTTTGGCTCCGGTAACCGCTATAAATATATATCAGATAAGAGGGAGAAATATATACAGTATATCAGTGACAAAATGCAATGATTTGTAAAAATATCTATATATCTATATATATATATATAACTTACGCAAATCAACAAAAGGGGGTACACCGAAACCAAAACTCTTTGCCACTGCCACCAGATCCAGTCGGTTAAGATCAAAGATTTGTTTGAGGGAATGGCTGTCGTAGGCTCTGATGAAGGCCTTGTAGGCCTCTTTGGCCGATAGATTCAGAAAGTAGTTCTTTGTGATCAACTTTTCCAACTAATGATAAACAAAACAAGATTAGAAAAATTTAAATAATAATTAAGTGTTAGAATATTTCGTGATTTATTAGACTCATTGTAATAGTTTTACAATCAGATCATCAGATATTGTCATCGTTTTTAATCATATGTTTCTACATTGAACTATATTTTTCTATAAAAATAAAATGTACGGTAATATTGTAGTTACATAAATTTCAATATTAAATAAATAAAAGTCTAAATTTATATCTTTACTGTTAACTCATTATAAGGCTCTACACTGTAAAGTCTAAAACAATATCAAACTTTAAAATTTATGCTTAAAAGTAGCTTTGGCTGAATTGACAAAACAATTTTAATAATTTATTTATCTAATTGTGTGGCTAATTAGAAATACATTAAAAATTTACATGCTAATTTTTTTTATTTACCGGTAATATAATTTAAATAAACAATCATTTCACCAAACTTATAATACCAACAAAAAAATTGTTTAAAACTTAAAAATAAAAATATTTTGTTCACAACATTCATCTAAAATTATTCGTAACATTGATTTTTTCATTAAACATTTTTTATATATGAAAGTTTCGTGTAATTAAATTTTGTCATGGTAAATTACACACTATTTTCTGGTAAAATTACCTGTAAAACATGTCTAAAATTGATTAAACACCACAAAACTACATGTTTGAGACAAATAAGTTTTGCGATACAGTATTAAAAAAAGTGTCTCCAAGTTTTAACTCTATATATGTGATGTATTCAAAGCTTTTTAAAAATAAAACACAACTAACTTATGAATTATAGTTATTATTCGACACATCAAACCAAACAAATATCGCAAACCAAACACCCAGAGCTTTGGGATTCTGGTATTATTTTTTTTGGAGACACCATTTCCTAAATAATAATATAACTATAAATTCAAACTCGTATAAGTCATAGGGAAATGCGATAAATTAGTCACATTTTTGTTGTTGGTGTTGTTGTTGTATTTATTTTTATAGTATTGAATAAACATAATCTCTTTTATAAAGATTTGACAGTCAATTGGAAATGAAAGTGAACATTGATTTGAAAAAATTGTATTTGCAATTAGTATTTGAGAAAACGGTATTCAATTAGGAAAGGAATGGTATATTTATCAGTACATCAACTAAAATAATATCAAATTCTTGACAGAATATTCTGACAATTGTACGACAAATGACACTCAGAAAAAATTGTTGAATTTTTTCGTATAAAAATAACTTATTATTTAAATGTTAACTCTCTCTCTCTCTCTCAAGAGCCTAAAGTGAGAGAGAGAGAGAGATATGTTGAGAAATCATATAATTTTGTGTAAAAAACGGTAAAGTCATATAAGACATACATTTAAAAACATATACAATGAATGCTTGTGTTTAAAGTAGTTTTAATTGTATAATTTTTTGTTGCTTAAATAATATATATAGGAAATAAAAGATATCCCATAGATTATAGACACAATAGGACTTATAGATAATGAGGTATTTGAGCCAACTTTTTGTCGGTTGAATTGCATAAGAGACAGATACAGATAGACAAGTCATGGGTATATCAAATATTGTATAACTCAACAAAAAACAAGTTTTTGATTAATAATATCATATATACCGAGTTTATATATACAGTACACAGTGGAGCATAATGTACAACAAAATATAAGCTAAATTATTCATTGAAATACGAAAGAAAAAAATTATGAAAAATATAATATTTATATAACTTGTGATTCAGAGAATAAAGGCATACAATTTTTACATAGTTATAAACAAACAAATAAATAAATTAACAAAATTAACTGAAAAAATAATATCAAATGAAATGATGACTCCATAGAGAGAGAGAGAAAGAGAGAGAGAGAGAGAGAGATCAGTTTTTGATGTCAGTTTTGATGATAGATTGAGAGCATAAGGCATTTTGAGAGAGAAACTGGAAAATATATAATATATATTCTCATTTTGTTTTGTCAAAAAATTTTTAAAACAAAAATTGTCTTCAATATATACAGTATATAAAAGGGGTCACCACACCAGGAGATATTTGTCACCAATTGATCATAAATTTTATCATGTCAATTTTTATTACTGTTTTTTGAAAAATCGTATATTAATCTAGTATACTTTCAAAAACAACAACAAAATTAAAACAAAATTCATACAAACAAATATATTATAATAAATATTAAAGAGAGAAATTAAAGTTATCACACTTTCTTCAATTTTTTTTATTAGTCTTTCATTTTTCTTTTTATATACACATTCATACAGTGCTAAAATCGCTGATAAAAACTTTAAAATACAACAACAAAAAAGTGCATTTTTCAAACTTTATTTTTAGATTTTTAAATAAAAATAGTAAAACAATAATACAATAGTAGTTTTTAAAAACAAAGATAAGTGTGGTGTGTGTGAGACGTTGTGTAGTGATAGTTATAAATAAATATCTCTCCAATGAATTAGTGATAAATTTGTCAACAATTGTTAACATATAACAGTTTAGTGAGAAATTTATAAAACAACAACAACTAAACTTTTAAACAAATAGACTACAAATATATAACAATGAAATAACACTTCATAAAAATCTAGTGGCAATAATAATAATCTAATTAATGATTTGGTAAATAAATATATAATAAAAGATGAGATTTATTAACATTAATAAATGGCTCAATGAATGAGTGATCGACTTTATGATTGAGTGCATGAATTGAATCCAAAATAAATACTCCAAAAAAGCGAGTGTAAGAAAAAAATGTGAATAATTTTTCTCTATAAATAATTGCTACAAATTATTTTGTATATATAGAGACATACATTTATATATATTTATATATAAGTATACTGTTGTAAAACTGTGATGACATAAATGTATTAGACATAAAAAAGAGTAAAATAAAATGTAATAAAAAATTAAACCTTCGCATACAATCAACATACAGACCATTAAATAACAATAAGAGAAAATATTTAAATAAAAAAAATAATTCTAACATAACTATAATAAAACTGAAATCCAGAGATATATAAATATATATATATATCGGAGAGAAAAACTTTATTTTTGAAGATTTAGATCCAAGAATTTCTCTCTCGACTAATGAATAATTACAACTATTTTTAATGAATACATAATTTTTTTAGTGAGCGATAAAAAAGATCATCATTTTATAAATAACTTTCTGTAAAAAAAACTTTAGTCTCTCACTCACTCTCTCTCTTTCTATTCATTAATGTTCATCAATTTTAGAGACCAGTGTTTGACGATTTTTTGTTTATAAATATACCTACAGTTATACATACATACACATAGTAGTGTAGCATTCATACTTATTTTGGGTATTCATGCGAAAAGTACCCAAACGCGTGCCAGGAGTTCATGAGAGAGACAGAGACAGTAAAATGAGGGGTAAGGGAAAGGGAGATCTCAAAGAGCACTCGGGGAACGGGAGATTACGACTACTGTTACTATTAACGTAACGCCAATTAGTTATTTATCAGCGGAAGTGTTTGACTGCACAGATAGCGAAAAGCAAAAAAATATATATATAAAAAATAAAAAAGTGTTTTATATCAATCAAAAAACTGTACGGTAATTAAACATTAAGCAAACAACAAATAAAATAAAAATAACAGGTGTTAACATTAATAATCAGTTTTGTAATACAAATAAAACAAGAAAAAATAAATCAAATTTATAAGTTATCAATTTTTTTTCTATCTCACAATTGTTGCACATATAAACAGTAACTATTAAGGTGTTAATACCAATAGTCAATCAAATGCATGGCTATTAAACAACAAAACAAAAACTAATTAATTATAAAAGATTGACATTAAAGGAGAGAAAAGTTGATTAAGTCATAGAAAAAATAATAATTTTTAAATACTTCAATACCATAGTAAGTAAGTATTGATTAAAATATTTTTTTCTTGAAAAACAATTTTATATTAAAAAGTCTATATTAGGTGCAACACTAAAAGTGTTATCAAATAGTTATAAATTAGCAACAAAAAACGATAAATTAACGAAAAAATTAAAATTTTAAATTATTAACTCTCAACAAACAACAAAATGTGAATCATTTGAAAGCACTATATATTTAAGTGAATCGTGAATTTAAAATAAAAACAAAACTATAAAACCCGTTGATATGTGGGAGAGAGGAGAGGAAAAGAGATAAAGATTTTTATGCCAAAACAGTCAGTAAAACACAGGCACTTAAAACCCACTTATAATTTTCAAGTAATAATTATATCAGCTATAATGTAATTTAATTTAATAATAATATTTTTTAAATAATTTTCGTAATGGGAAAACAAAAAATAAATAAAAACTATAACTTAATCTATATGTGTGCGTGTGTTTTACTTTATGGTAAAAAATGAGAGATAAAATAACATTAACCAAAAACACTATATAGAGGAAAGGGAGACAAACAAAAATTAGATGTAAAATAATAATGAAACTCTTTGTACGGCATTTGCCAAAAATTTTGATACAGAATATAATTTATATTTTTCCGGTGTATGTAAAATAAAAATAATCCACAATTTTTTTTTGTAATGAAATACATAATACTTGATATGTACGACCACTTTATATATATATATATATATAAATTTTATTCATAAAATTGTCACACAAACATGTATTAAATTCTCTCTCAAGTCATATTAAAAAAAATAAAATAAAATATTTAACTAAAAAACAAAACAATAACAAAAAAAGACTAACAAATAACAACAATAAAAAATATTTTTATGTCTTATTACTTTCTAATGATATCTCAACAATTTTAAATAACTTCGAAATAAATGAATTAGTGAACAAAAAAATGTTTATCAAAAACAAAAACAAAATAATAAAAATACAGAAATAATGCTTAATTCATATAAAAATTTACTTTTCAAAAAAAACTTATAGATAAGCGACTTATTTATAGAAATAGTTGCGAAAACTTTTTTAAAAAATTTTACGCTAAGATTCAGTAAATTATTAGCAATAAATTTCAATATAAATTTAGTTAATGTAAAGTTAGAAAAAAATTCAGTGTCTATTTCCGTTGACAGCTGACTGACAGTCGAGAGGGTAATGCTGTGTCAAATAGGATATTATGATGACTTACGGGGTCGGGAGGTTTGTACCGTACATAACCTATCACATACAGTGTGTACCGTAAATATATACTATTATAGGGCATACCTGGGGTTGTATGTTTGCCACTTTATTCCATGAAAAATCAAACTCCTGGAGCGGCACTTTGGCTTCTTTAAGATATCTTAAGAACTCAATCTCGTCGGGATTCAAAATCAACAGAGCGTGACCACTGGCCCCTTCACCCCGTGCCGTACGGCCCACACGATGTATATACTCCTATATATATATAAAGACAAAATCATCATTAGTTAAGACAACAATGAATGTCACTATTAAGCGAAAAACAAAATTTATTATAATGAAAGTTGAGACATAAATATCATATTAAAGAAATTTTTTTGACAGCAAAAACATCATTACAGTTAAAGGGTCTAATGATATGAATGGCATCATAATTGCTATTTATTAATAGAAAATTACTTTTTAACTACTATTTATAAATTAAAAAATCATATAATTATAAATGGATTATATTGAAAAATTATGCGATCCAACAAAAACATTCATTAGTCTTTTTTTTTAAAAAACTAATTAATTAATTAAATATTTATATATTTAAAAAGTAATTATTTGAAACTTAATGACCAACCTTAGGATCATCGGGTGGATCGTACTGTACTATCCAATCGACTTGAGGGATGTCGAGACCACGGGCGGCCACATCTGTACATAATAGGATACCAGACTCGGAGTTACAGAATTGAAAGAAAGTTGTCGTACGTTTGGTTTGCTTTTGTTTGCCCTAAACAACAACAACAACATTACAATCAGCATAATTATGTTTACACTATTCAAACATCACTTACATGAATACACATAACAGGCATATCAATGTAATTAAAGAGTTCATTATGAAACTTGACTGACATACAGGAGCTAAAGAAAACCATAACTTTTTTGTTGCGATTCTTCTTCAAAAATGTAAACAATAAAAGCAGCCGTTTGTCTGACGGCGCAAATACAAAGCCCTGTTCGAGACCGGCAACTGTTGCCGTTTCCTTATAATCTTCTAGTCCTACATATAACGGTTCCTTCTTGAGTGCCGTAGTAATCAAATCATCTGTTTTCTTAGTTAATGTAGCGCTAAAAAGCATAGTTTGTCTTCTCTGCGGTAATAATCTAATTATTTGTTTTATCTCTTCCTCGAAACCAATATCTAGTATACGGTCCGCTTCGTCGATGATTAAACACTGAAGATTCTTAAATAAGAATTGTTTAGAATTTTGCAAGTGATCCAACAGACGTCCCGGTGTGGCCACCAATATGTTAACACCTTTAACCAGTTTAAGCGCTTCCGATTGTCGATTTGTTCCGCCCATAATCAGACCGTAGGTTTGTTTATGATATTTCATCAATTCTTTAAGTACACCAAATGTTTGCATCGACAGCTCACGGGTTGGCGATATTACAATAACACCGGTGCCATTGCGCGGCATAAATCTTAGTTTATATAACAGTTCCAGTGCTGGTATAAGAAAAGCCAATGTCTTTCCGCTGCCAGTTTTGGCCGCAGCGACTAAATCCCTATTAAAAATTAAAATACAAACAATTGATAAAAATAACAAATATCTACATTTCCTTTAATAAAACTTACTTTCCCTCCAATAGATGTGGTATTGTCTTTGACTGTATTTCAGTCATTTCCGTAAACTCCATGTCTTTAATCGCATTCAGAGTAAATTCTGACACTTTGTCGCGCAGTTCATCAAACCTGGTGGCCGTCAGTGACATACTTAATGGTATATTTGCTGGCTTACCATCCGATGTCACCAATTGTGGACAATCACTTTCACTATTATCTTCATCAACATTAACATCATTTACCGAATCAATCTCTTTAGCTGTCGTTTCGCTAGTTTTCAGTTTTTCTGTTGAATTAAAAAAATAAATAAATAAAACAATTCGTAATAAATGTCCATAAATTCATCGGTTCTCAAATGAAGACAACAAAAACTCTTACTTTGTTTATTGTTATTCACTGATTCAGCATTAGATCTCTTAGGTTGTTGTTGAACATTGTCGTCATCAGATCCCACAATATCGTCATCAATGTCTTCTTCTTCTTGATCTCCATTTGATGCCATAGTTTGTCGCTCTTTCTGTTTGTCAAGTCTTTGCTTTTGTTTGTGTTTCAATCGTTTCTTCAGTTTCCTCATCATTGCCTCTTCGTGTACTTTAGGCATCTTTGGGATCAGTTGATGAAACACGTAATATTATTATAGTTATTAACGCCAAAACACACGTGCTTTACATACACTAAAGTATTGCTTGTATTACAAACTCAATGCACAACACGTGTTGTATGTCAACAACATTACAGTTTAAATTGATAATAATGTTAACCATAAACAACATTACACTTAATGTGTGACAAGTTATTGGAAACAAAACTATTTTAATAAAATAAAAATCAAAAAAATAAATATTAACATAAATATCATAATCAACAAAATTAACACTTTTATTATTTGTCTATAAAATTACAATCAAATCTAATAATTTATAAAAACAGAAAAAACTTTATTAATTTATAAATTAAATAATTATTTATTATTTAAATTAAATGTCAGCCGAAAAAAAATGCTAAATATCTGTAACGTTATCTATGAATAGTTTAGTTGCCTATTGATTGTCAATTGCGTGGCATTTAATCCATCACTCAATTTGTTAATCCATCTGTTTTTGAGGACATTTGACGGCACATCCAGTGGACAGACATGTAAGTTGAAGAACCCATACATTTAGCTGTTTAATGAACACATATTTTATAACAATAATGATTACATCCCAATAGGGCAACAGCGGCCAACACAAGCGGATCAGCGGCCACAGCGACAGCCAACAGCAGTACTCCCGCATCAAAAGTCACATTCAAGATAACACTGACCAGTGACCCGAAGTTGCCGTACAAAGTGTTAGTTTTAGTTTAATTATGTATATAAACATAACCTTTGATTATAATATCATTTGTTTGACATTTTTTTTAGGCTAACGGTTCCCGAAAACGCACCGTTCACTGCTGTCCTCAAGTACGCTGCCGAAGAGTTCAAGCAAACACCGGCCACCAGTGCCATCATTACCGACGATGGAATTGGTATAAATCCGTCGCAAACGGCCGGCGATATCTTCCTTAAACACGGATCAGAGTTACGGCTTATACCAAGAGATAGAGTCGGCAGTCGATTGGATTAAAAGTGTTTCGTTAAATAAATTTTGTTTACATTAAAAAAAACATGATTTGTATATACATTGTGTTGTTATTGATTTAATTAAACAATAATATCAATCATTTTCAGGTATTATTTTTTTGTAATGTTTTTATTTGTCGGACACACTTTCAATTAACTGTCATTGTATTGACCCAATTGATAATAAATATCAAGTAAAAAAACAAGTTATAAGTCAATATTTAACTATCGGTAATATTTTTTTTTTGGTTAAATTTTCGTATATCTAATATACCCCCTAATGTTTGGTATATACCCGGGATAAAAAAAAGTATTGAGAGTAGCAATCGTACCACAGTTACAAGTGTCCACTGTCTATATAAATATGTCGGTAACAATTGGTGTCGACAGGTGTGGCCACTGATTACTGGTGGCTATTATATAAAAATGTACAGATAGTTTGTGGTAAATATTGATCATATGATGGCAACACACATACACATACATACAGGCATACCAGTGATTGCCTAATAGTTATGTCCCCCTCTCTCACTATTGGCCGACCAGTGAACTGTCATTTTTATCACTTAAATATACAGTATATATAAGTTATATACATTTCTACGCAGTGTTTCTCATACTTATTTATATTATATATATTTTTATATATTTACTGTATATATATATACGGTATATAAATATATATATTCTACTTAATGTATAAATAAAATTAAATTTTTTCAGTTCACAAAAATAGTATATCAATAATATATTGAAAGTATTTAGTAAATGTTATTAACAGTGCTGTCCTCATCATGTCATATGTTTGATGACAAACTAGTTTTTATCCAAACAATTATTTGAAAAAAAGTAATATATTTATTAGCAAATAAATAGCTTAAATTTCTCTGTATTTTATATCAAAAAACAACAAACAAACAAAAAACTTATAAATGTCTGACGACATAAGCCAACCGATTGATATGTTGTCGACGACCACCGGTGCCCACTATTACTGGCAATCACATTGGGACCGATTGGTCGACCTGTTTGGCCGTAACGAGTTTTGCATGGGCTTTGGCGGTACTTTTATACTAACATTTACCGTCTATTGGACAGTCGGTATCGTCTATACTATTGTCGATGTCACAGGAAAACCATCATTTATGCTTAAGTATAAGATACAGGAGCTCACACCTGCTTATCCAGTATGCCATTAATCTTATATATTTTTGTATAAATGTTATAACTTTAAAAAAAACAAATTAACAATATTTTGCTTTAATAATAGTCTATTAGAAATAATAATTATTATTTCTAAATATAACATTATTGTTTTTATAACCATATTTTTATGCTATTATTTAAGCAAATCATAACATATTTGCTTATAAATTAATATAATAGGAATTATTATAACATTTATATTATTAATATAACATTAATATAATAACAAAACTAAAACATTATTCATTAGCTAATAGTATTTTGAATTTATTTATTTTAGTATATATTTATTGCTTAGTTTAATATAGCAATTGCCATAAAATATATATTGATTTGACCGAAAAATGTCTCTGAGTTTATTATAATATATAAATGTATGTTTATTTTATGACATAATATACAGTATATTATTATTTTATTACTATTTTTTTAAATATATTTATATAGATCTCAGCAAAGCTATTAATGCAAGCATTGAGACAAATCTTAATCAATCAAATCATAATTGGTTTGCCATTTGCACTGTTAGCCCATCATTTGGTCTCTTGGCGTGGCTATAATTTGGCACAATTACCATCATTTCATAGGGCTATCATAGAGCTGGCATTTTTTGTAATAGTCGAAGAGATAGCCTTTTATTATTCACATCGATTACTACATAATCCCAAGATTTATAAATACATCCATAAGCGACATCACGAATGGCAGACACCCATCGCTATCACAGCAATCTATTGTCACCCAATTGAACACATCTTTAGCAATCTATTGCCTTTATTTTTAGGTATATTAATAAAAATAATTGTATTTTTGACTTTGTTTTTTAGGTCAATGAAAATTTCATACAATGATAACAAATTATTATTATTTTAATTACGGTATATCTCACTTAAGGTCCTTTTATACTGGGCTCACACCTAAGTACATCGTGGGCCTGGTATACGTTAGCTATAATGAACACCTTAACCGATCATTCCGGCTATCATTTGCCTTTACTAACATCACCAGAAGCTCACGATTATCATCATTTAAAGTAATTTTATTATTAATTATTATTAATTATGATATTTGTACCAACAAAAAAAAATTATTTTATTTGTTTCATTAATTTTTAATTATATTAATTAATCAGATTTAATGAAAATTATGGTGTGTTGGGTATATTAGACCGATTGCACGGAACGGATACCAATTTCAGAAAATCAAAAGCCTTTCAAAGACACAGAGTTTTCTATAGTTTGCGGCCAATCAAAGATCTATATCCGGATGAGACCAATAAATCTGATTAAACAAAAAATTATATAAAAATTAAAATTTTTTAAAAAATCTCAATTTTTTCAATACTTTTTATTATATATTATTGTAACCAAAAAATTAATGAAACATATACATTATTATAATGTTGATAAAATATAATAAATATATGTGTAATTATTTTCAACAACAAAAATAATATTATTGTTATGAAAATTTTTTTCTAAATATCACGTTAAAATGATGTGACACAAATTTTTTATTTTTAATTATTATTATTAAATTAATAATAATAATAATTTATTATTATATGAAAATAACGTTACTATCAATAAAAATTATTTTTATGCAGTTTTTCTATTTAATACATTGTAAATAAATTAAATATTGTAATTATAATTAACTCATTGACTTAGTAACTGACTTTGAACTATTATATTAATTAATTAAACAAACAAACAAAATTATTGACTATCCCAATAGATCCCAGTCCTTGAATTTTGTACTATAATACATATGATAAGATAAACATGGTAACTTAATTATCATACAAATGTGTGAATATACTTGAAAATATAAAAAAAAACAAATATCATGAGTAATTTATTTATAAATATTTTTATATTTAATAAAATTAACTGATATATAAGTTTTCAAACGAGTCATATAGTTACAATAGTTGTCATTAAACTAAAAAAATATTAACAATTTACAAATTTTAATGAAATAATCATTTGTCAAAAAAAAGTTTAGTTGTTTTCATTTTATTGATACTGTATATCGCATAATGTGTTTTATTTGGTAAAATAAGTACTAACTGTTTGATGATACCTTTGATTTAAAGTCCAACTTTATTTGGCAGATATTAGCGTAAACATCAGTTATAGATATAAATGATAGCTTTTTTAGATTTTTTTAAAAAAATAAATTATATTATGTAATAATAATCTACTTGTAATTATACTACTATATAAGTACATTTTAGTACATATACAATAAAAATAAGGTATTAGATTATTTTTTAGTTATATTTTCATATTTATGATAAATTTAATCTATAAAATTTTATTACCAAATTAAATATTATATAAAAATATGTGAATAATTAGCGTATCAATTACCATATAAACTACCGGTATATACTGTAATGTATATATAGTTTATAATATAAACTTTATATTATTTTTTATATTTCTACTATCGATAAAACTTTTTTATAATAAACAAATATTAGTTTTTTTCAAATGTAATAACATATTGTGTAATTTTAAGTTATAAATTTTATAACTTTTAATGATTTTTTTGTACATAAGAAAATATTAATGATATTCACGATATAAAAATCTACATTTAATATATTGATAGTATAATGTAATGTTATTGTCGTCTATTATAAATGATATGTATTCATGTAATAATATTTCATAATATGAAATAATAAAAAAATTAAGTACATTGAAGTGCATTATGATCTCTGTTAATATAATTAAAAATATAAATAATTATCTTTACATTATCTTATTATAGATTAATTTAATCACAAAAAAATAAGTTTATTTTATTAAATAAAAGAATAACACATTCAATAAATCTTGTTTTGTATTATTAGTATTATTATTATTATTACATTTGCATTGTCGGGACTACAGTTGATTTGAGTCTGGCATTGATCAATAGATAGACGCTTTGATAATAACAGATTCCCGCAACTATACTACACATATGAAACAATTGGTGTGAATGAAACCATAGGTCAAACATTCCCGGTAAAAATCGCTCAGGTATTCTGGTCATATATAGTATGACACCCGATATATATATGGCAGCCATTAACAGCAATAGTATCAATGCTTTTATGATTGACTGCGAAATAACGGGATCATTGAATTGTGAATGACTACAAAAATGTACAATTGGGGCGATGGCTAGTAAATGACATCAATTATTTTATTTATTTTTTTCAGATGATAAATCATTAGATAATAACTATATGTATATATTTTGCAGTCTTAATATTGCAAATGTCATCAATTATAAAATAATTATATTATATTTATAATTCATGGCTTATAAATATTGTGATTGATTTACCAAAAAGTCCTTTTATTAGGAATACCACTCCTCTGATCACTTGGAGATTGCCATCGGAAAAGCCATCTCTTAATGTGACAATAATACCACTGATTCCCACTATTGATATTAAAGACATGTGTATTATTTTAGGTAGTAATACATTATAAAAGGTATAATAGATCCACACTATGTTTGATGAGACCATCAATAAAGTAATACCGAGATAATCTAATCTATTATTAGCAAAAAAAATAATTATTATTATATCATATTGTTCTATAAATAATGTTTTAGTTTTTTTTTGTTTTCTAATATTAGGATAATTACTTTGCAAAAAATTTGAAAACTTTGCAGGAGTGGCACTTAAACAGATGAAACAATGTCGACAATCCATAGCATGTTATTGAGGACACAAAATATAGACAAATTATAAAACCATCCATTGGTTTGTAATTTTTAAATGTATGACATTTCATAGTATGGACAAAGAGTATACAATATATGAAAAATGCTATCATATGTGTAAAGATATTTCCCGTTTCGTTATGCAATCGGATAACAGTTTTCAAACAATACCAAAATGATGGATATGGTGGCCGATAGGCGGTTAATATATATTTATTGTGAGCCAACCATTTCGGCACTAATTTATATTCTAGTAATTGCATAATTTTTAAATGTGTTTTACTAGTGATTTAATTAATAAAGTATACGAATTTTGTTTGATTAATTTAAATAAAATAAATTTAAATTGAATTGAATTGTTAATTTATATATATATATATATATATATATATATATATATATATATATATATATATATATATATATATATATATATATACATTAGTCTCATGCTTACAAATTATAAGTTACAATTACTATATTGTACAATATTATAGTACAGTATTATTTAAAATAATTTAAACAATTATTGCAATCACATTATGCATCACAAATACAGTATTTATATTATAACATTGTTGTAATACTACTTAATAAAGTTTATTACTATAGATTAATAGACTCTATACTATAGTATACTGTATAAACAAAACTGTACTATATATGCAAATTTTTTAATTAAATTACTGTATATTTAATCAATAGTCAATATTAAATTTTTCAAACTATTCAATAATTATATTAATGTATTTTGTAAATTTAATTATGTAGTTTACAAAAATAATTACATAGTTTTGTAGTTTTTTTTTGTCAAAAACACAATATTCATTGATTAGACTACTAATTTAATTTTTCATTTAATTACTTTATTTTTAAAAATTATTGAATCAAATTACTGGGTAATAAAAATTTTATCTATTGTATTACATTACGGATATTATAATTAAGTCTAGCATTGGCTATAGTGGACAGACTATAAAAATATATGAGTCCAGCAGCTATAGTGCATACGTGAAATAATTGATGCGAATGAAACCAGAGATCAAAAACACCGGGTGCGTAGCGCTCCGGTATTTTTGCCATATAGAGTATGGCACCAGTTATATACAAGACAGCCATCACTGGAAGCAATAGCAGTGCTTTGAAGATTATCTGTGAACTAATGGTACTGTCGGTGTCGACTCTCAAATTGTGACAAAAATGGACAAATGGTACAATACCTATATTATCATTTTATAATCATTAATAATAAAGTTAACTTAATAATTAGTTATGTAATTAAATATTTATGTATATATATATATATATGTTGTAATTTCTTTTCTTTCTTTTTTTTTGTCAAAAAAGCATTAATACAATAAAACTAAAAACATGAAATAACTTTTTTTTCTTATGCTAATTAATTAGTTTGAATAGTAGGGCTATTTTATGTTAGACAATGTTATGTTATGTTATTTTAGTACTAAATTACCAAACAGTCCTTTCATTATAAAAACAGCTCCTCTAAGCACTTGAAGTTCGCCATTAGAGAAACTGTCCATCAATGAGAAGGTGATACCGATTATACACAACAATAGTGTTATGAATGTGTAAATAAATTTATGTATTAACGACTCATAAAAGCCATAATAAATCCATGCAATGTTTGATGATGTTATTAGTATAGTTATACCGCAATAGTCTAATCTAAAGGGCAACACATTTTTCAAATCAATTATTAATATGATATTAGTGTATATATTAATTTATGTCATAAGTTTTTTTTGTTTAATGTATTTTAGTTACTTTGCAAACAGCTTAAAAGCTTTAGGGGAGTGGCACTGAAATATATGAAACAGTGTCGACATTGTAAAGCATGCAAATGTGGCCATAAAATATTGGCCAAACATGAGCTCATCAATTGTTTGAAAATTTTTATATTTACGACACTGTAAAGTATAGATGTATAGTATGCCAAACATGAGAAATGCCAGCAAATGTGTTAATATATTTCCCGTTTCGTTATGCATTCGGAAAGCTGTGACCAAACAGTACCGAAACGATGGGTTAGGCGGCCGATAGGCGGTTATAATATATTGATTGTGGACTAACCATTGGGGCACTGATTGACTCGTCAGTAATTTCATTGTGTATTTGGATAACTATATCTTTGTACTGAAGTTCATAGCATATAAAGGAATAAATGTATTTTATAAGGACTCACCTAACCTAACACTACTAAACTAACCAGTAATATAAGTGAATATCAACAATCAAATCAGTTAACAATGTGAGTCCTTATAAAATACATTTATACCCATATAAATTATAGTTTAAAAGTTTAAAATATTATATGATATTAAATAGTATACATAAGTTTTTTTTGATCAATAAAATTTAAATTAAACTTCAAAAACATAATATGATATCAATATTTAAATGATTAATCTCGTGCATACTATGCATTTTATATACAATAAAATATTATATACCCGTATATAAAACATGTAACAATAATGCATTATTTAAATATTCAACATTGACTTCAATATTATGCATCATTGCCATAATGCAATATTTATTATTGCTGTAGTATTTAATTTTTAATTATTTGCCCCAATCAATAAGGCACTATAGCTTTTTTATAGTCCATTATTTTTTTATAGATTTTTTTATTTGTTATTCTAACTAAAATTATTGGCATTTTACTGTACGCACACAATTTTATTGATGTGTGATTATTTTATAATATCATATTAAATAAATTAATTATATCTGAATTTTATGTAAATTTGTTTTTGTTATTTATTATTGCAGTCGAACTTGAATTTTTTAAACATTTAAATAAAAACAAACAAACTTATTATTTTGCAAATAATAATTAACTTTAATAAATAAATGAATAATTATTATAAATATAAGGTCACTCTAAAGTAAATATATTAATTAGTTTAGTTATTGTCATTATAATATAGCAATAATAATAATAATATTATTATTTTAAGTAAATTATTAATTAAAATTTTCGTAATATCAATATTGTAAAAATATAAACTTTAATAGTAAAATTATTAACATGAATTAAACAAACAGAATATTCTGTGTATATAATAGATATAGTGTTTGTTTAAATATATACAGCATTTATATTTAATAATTAAGATAATTTTTTTTGTGTACAACTATGAATAAATATAATTTTTAATTGCCATAACATCATTTAACAAACAAACCAAAATATAATTATTAGTTTATAATTATAATAAATTTATTATTATTATATTTTACTAGCATTTCAAACAATTCATTATATTATTATTATATCATAATTATTATGTATTATATATTATATTATTATTATTACATTAAAAGAGTTTATACGTCATTCAAATTAATTATTATTATTATATTATATTATTATTTAAATAATTTACTTAATTGTCTGAGCAGTTGGTCATTCAGTGATAGTGCAGTCAATCAATCAATCGGTGCTAAGGAAAGCCAAATCGTTGTTTTGGTGCATTCGTTGGTTAAGTCTTGCCTCAGCCATGAGTGACATACTATGAAAGTATGTCAGACCCGCCAACACTACCAGTGTGTGGAAGATTTGATGCGAATGGAACCACAGGTCAAACTTGCCGGGAGACCAGCGCTCCGGTATCTTATACATGTAACACAGGGCGCCTATTATATACAATGAGCCCATAAATACTAACAACTGTATCGACCTAAGGGCCAATTGGGCGGCAGTCGGGCCAAACATGTAGAGTTGAAAGTACAGATGACAACAAGGAAAGATAGCTACCGGTGCAAAATTAATAAGAAATAATGGATAAAAATTATAAAAAAAATTGTGAATACAAATGAATGTCATTATTATTATTATTATTGTTAAATACTACTAATACTATTGGCAATGATTTTTATGAATGAATGATTTGACTGTAATTTAGGAAATGGGTTGTCGTGCATATGTGTCTGTGTGTCTGTCTATATGCATACCTGAGCATCCATTCAATAGGAATATAGCGCTGCGAATTTTCCTGAGCTCCGGTTCACTGAATTTGTCAAACAAGGAGATCACGAAACACGCCATACATAACAACACTGTTGACGATAGGTATAGATTACGTGCCGTCGGAAAGTAGTAGAAACCATAGTATATCCATGGGATGAATGAGGCGGCAATCAATATAGTTATACCACAGTAGTCCAGCCTATTGTCAATCAATCAATATTTATATTTTTTAAAAATCATTATTTTAGTGATAAACAAATAAACAAACAGATAAATCAATTTATTTATAATAAACATAAATACAGATATTATAAGATATAATATATAATTACTTAGCAAACAATTTAAAGACTCTTCTCGAGTGACATCGAAAGGCATGAAACAGTGTCGACATTATCATACAAATGATAATACCGGTGAAGAAGGCGCCGAATATGACTCTATCGATGAACGAAGAGTTCATGTATACCGCGTGACTCATCGAACTGTACCACAGATAGGCAAAGATTAGGGAACCAATTAAATGGGTGAAGATATTGCCCGACTCGTTGTGTAAATGTAATACTGACGACTTGAGACAGTACTTGAACGATGGTGTCGGCGGCCGAAAGTGCCGACGTATGTACTCATTGTCGCCATACCACGGCGGCACTGATGTCAGATCAACCAATTTCATGTTTATTATACAGTTGTATCACACAAGTTGTTAGTAATAGTTATATAATGTTAAAGTGTTCAACAATCAGTAGATTATTTTTTTATATATTAATTAACAACTAATATAAATATATTTCAAAACATTAATAGATATTATTATTATATATTATTATTATTATTATTATTATTATTGAAAATCTATTCAATTTTTTGTCATAACATTTTTAAATATATATTTTAAAGAATATTCTTTATTATTATTATTATAATTATCAATTATATAATCTAACAGCTTCCTCTTTATATGTTTGTCTGGCACTGGTAGGCAACTGGAAGGTGATATATATATAACAGATATTATTCTCCAAAAAAATATAACGGTAATTTGAAATTAATCTATATATCTTATTATTATTATCTTATTAGTAGTATTGTTGCTATTGTTTAATAGCGCGCAGACATCGATACACACACATTATACTATAGTTTATAAGTCACTCAAACAACCACTCAATTGGTAAAACAGTCAGTCTCTATACAAAAGAGCACACACACCGACATACGTAAAATACACTATAATAACTGTTTTCATATATAATATAATATATATATTACAGGGGACTGTTAGTTATAAAACTAGTAGTTATTATTGATATTATTATTATTATTACTTTTAGTATAGCGCACAAACACAGAATCAAATAATATATATAATCACAAATAAGAATATTCTTTTACAATACAATTGTTTTTATTATTTTTATTCTACAATTATATTAATAATTTATTATATTATAAATAGTTTTATATTGTTTGCTTTAGTTTTTATATCCAAATAAGTCATATATCATTTATTAATTTAATAATATGCCTAAAAATGGTTTACTTTTTTCAAGATAAACTATTTATCAGTTATTATTCTGGTAAAACCAAAAGCAAACTGTACTCTAAATTCAATATACTATCGCCAGACATATATCGTAAATATGTTGAGTTGTAGGGAAAATATCCCTGAGCTCAGTGAATGAAAAAATGTAAGTGAATTGCGAATTTCACCAGAATTTATACCATACTGTATGCTATAATAGGCACTGGATTATCGATCGGCGCGTAAATAGTGGGGATATATAGTAGGGAATGGGAGTCAAAGAGAGAAAGAGAGAGAGAGAGAGAGAGAGAGAGAGAGAGAGAGAGAGAGACAGACAGACAGACAGAGAGGAATGTGTGATGTTTTACACACATTTATTTGTCAGCTGAAGAATATTCTGTGCCTAATATTTCTGTAATATTTCTGATTAGAAATTCTTTGGCGCAAAATATTCAAACTAAACGGGAAAAACAAATGGATTTTCCCGTTTGGATTAAACAATTTAATAGTAATATTCTTTGATTTTAAAAATAATTTTTTAAATATTAAAATGATTTTTTTTATTTAAATAGTACTTTAATATTTTATATCTGTAATATTAAAAGCTAAACTAAAAATTGTAACTTGATTTTGATTTAATTGAATGTTATATTACTAGATTTTGATTTACAATACTTAATTTAGTTTTAATAATATAATATTATTACTAAATTAAGATTTACAATAAATACTCTATATATATTAATAAATTAAATAAACTTATAATAAATTATGGTTTTGATTTGGTTTTTAGCTTTTATTTTAGATTTTCATCTCTAATTTGCGCGATAAACACTTTTAGCTTTTGATATTAATGTGAATATAAGCTTTACTGTATATACTGTATATAACTGTATATAACTGTATATAACTGTATATAACTGTATATAACTGTATATAACTGTATATAACTGTATATAACTGTATATAACTGTATATAACTGTATATAACTGTATATAACTGTATAAAACACTATTGTATTATATATACCGGTATATAACATACACTACATATATACTGTATATATATATATATATTCAATATATAAGTATATATTAGGTATTCTGGGCTTTGGTTTTATATGTAAATAATTGAATACCAAAAATAACATCACTCGAGGATAAGCCGAGACCTTATTGTGTGAATCGTTAAGTTTTTTTTGTCTGAATAATAATATTGTAGTATAATATATAATTTATTTACAATTCATTAAATATTGATTTTATAACTTTATCACATACTATATCTCTAATATGTTCTCAAAATAAAATTACATTGTTTTTCAACGCTTAATGAACTAAAAATAAAGGCAAACATTGAATACATTCATTATTACAGAGGTTTTGGGATAATAAGGGAAAAGGGATTGCCGTTTGAATCGGATATGAAAATATGATTAATAGTTTGGACATTAAAATTTGACACTAAATGATCACTTAAACAGTTAATCATTTGGCCTTTTGATATTTTAAATACACTGACAAACACACACACACACACACACACACACACACACACACACACACACACACACACACACACACACACACACACGCAAAACACATACATACAGTAAGTACTGTACTTACAGCCTATGCTTAAAACAAAAAACATAATTTCAAATTAGTATTTTATCTCAAGCTGTAATTTCAGATCAAAAACTGTTATTATTATTACATAACTATTTATTAGGAAAATATCAAAATAACACAATTGAAAAATACTTTTAACATTTACGTAATGTCAATACCGACGTCTAATATAATTGATTACATGTTTTTTTCAGCGAAGAAAAAATTATCATAAAAATAAAAAAATCAAAATTATTTGTTTTTCTTGTTTTGTTGTTCAAAATAAAAACACATTTTTTTCAGTCAAATATATTTCAAAATAATAGCTGAGAGTTTTGTTATAAATAAAATACATTTTACGTAAGTTACTTACAATTTACAGTGAAATAAAAGTATTGAAAAGTAAATATATAGTTATATACAGAATATATATTCTTGACATTTATAGATCTATCAAAAACACTCAGCAATGGTATAATCGCATCAATTATTCATTAATCATAAATATTACATTTTTTGTGGCTTTTATTTTGTAGACTTTTTTTTTATCCATCAATGTATAACCGTTAATATGATATAATAGAATTACAATAAATATAATATATATATGATATATATATATATAAAGGTTGAATCTAAAAATACAAAAATATATATATTATAGTCAAACACCTGAATTTGTATGATAACAATATTTTTTTCAACAAAATATGTATTTATACAGTACTGCTATATTTAGTAGTAATATTATTTAGACAAATAATCTGATTTAATTGTTTAATACATATAAAAATTTATATAAATAAATAATTTTTATATTGACAATATAATTTCGTATAATAAGTTAATAAAAATAAGCTTACTAAATAAACAATTTTTGAATAAAAAATAAATAAATTATACTTATTTACATAATGCTTATTTATTTCAAAAAACCTACACTATTTTTTTGTACAACAATATGATGCTTATTATAAATTTATATTATTTTAGTTTATATCATTTAAATACAATAATAAATTTATATATAAATTTATACAAAAGCGTTAAACTAATTAAGTAACTCATGTATAAACTCAATGATAGTTTATCATTAGCGGTTGTATTAACAATTTAGTCCATCATTTATTATATTAACAATAGATTTATACTTTATATAGACTACTATATTATAATGATTGTATTGTTTTTTATACAGTATATATATATAAGTTTTATAATAAATATGTTAATATTGTAGTGTTTTAATGCAATTTTTTGATAATCTTTTTAACAGCTATTTTAGCTTTAATTATTATCGATTAATTAATTTATTACTATAATTATATTTGTATTTTTCTATTTATAATTTTTGTATTAATAATTTAATAATAAAATTGCCAATAATAAATTAATTATCATGCTGAATTTATCAATAATAAGTTTCCATATAAATCGATAGCTTACTTATTATTTTTTAATAAATTTTATTACAGTAATTATAGTTTAATTAAGTAAAAATAGTTTTTAAAATATTATTTAATAATTTGTTTAAAGTTAATAAGCTAATATATATAAAATTAAATTTACATAAAATTTTCATTATAGTTTTTTTTAAAAAATATTATAATATAAAATTCATATATTATATACGTAGAGATATTTTTGACGTCAATTAGTAATTTATTTTTATACATTATATCTTTATATTTTAATAAATATCATAAATTATATTTTTATGTTTTCAGTGTATTCAATCGATTTTTAAATTGAGTTTCTTAAAATTATAATATTATATTGTTCAATTTTATTCAATAAGTAAAATATATTTTAGTAAATTTATAATATAATATTATATTTTTAATGATATAATAAAATATAAGATCCATAATGGAAATTTAGTTTATGATTATACAAATATAAAATTAAAATACACAAAAATATTATTAAATTATTTTTTATAGAATAACTTAAACAATACTAGCACCTAGGACTTTTAAATAATTTATTTATAATAAAAATCAATGTTATTTTTATTATACAAATCTTTAATTTAAATTGTCTAAAATATTTAATTTTAAAAAATTAATTCCCGGTAATTTGTTTAATATTGAATTATGTTCACAAATGACATCCATTTAATACTAACAATATTTCTATAGATTAATATAAAAATATTTTATTTTAAAACATTAAATCAACAAAAAAAACTAAAATTAATCTAACTATAAGAAAAATATTTCTCATTATATGTTATATTTTGAAAAAAATTTTAATAAAAAAGAGAAACTATAAAGAAATGAAATAAATTAATTTATAATTAATTATAAAAATATTAATAACTTTTTCCAGAGTTAAATATTTTACAAAACTTCAGTCAATTATATAAACATATTATAATAAACATTATTTTCTAAATAAATTTTAATAAATAACAAATTAATAAAAAAATATTTTTTTTCATATAATTATAGTTCAAATTTAATATAAATTTTTATTTAATAGACCAATAATTATAAATATTTTACTAATAATTAAAATATTAATACAATAATAAATATTTAATTCAATTCATAAATTACGTTCATTTTAGTTAGTTTTAGATCAAAAGTAACGTTATTAACGAACAGTTTGTTTGTTTTCTTCACTTAACTATCGGATCACTTCTTCGTCTTTTTCTTCTTCTTCTTCTTCTTCAAGACATGTGATCCGTATTTGCAAACAATGAACAACTATTTGACGACCGAAACCGCTGAAGAGCTGAATCGTCGGGAATTTCTTCAGCAAAGACACTATCAGTTGCAAAGCGAATTGCAACAGATGGCCCTCGAGTTACCGAAGTTAGTGTCCAATACATCCAATATCACCACCGAATTTGATCCACAAACTCATTGATTGAAACTAATAATATCTTTATTTCATTTTGTTTATCTCTCATGTCTTGTATAGTGTATATCAACAGCGAATGCCATACGAGTTGTTGTCTTCGTTGGCCAACTGTTTGCTCGACAACTCGATCGGTCAGATCGTTAGCGGACTGAAAGACTTGCAGCACATAACCGAACGGTCACTATTCGAGCGAAGACAGAAAGCCGTCGGCAAATTCAGAGGTGTTTACATCACTTGTTTAATGACTTTTTTTTTAAAAAATTGTTTTTAAAACTCGTTTTTCATTCATTCAATTGATATCGTAATCCAAGAAATAAATGAATCAATAGATTGATTGCTAATTGAATTAATTATTGATTTTTTGTTTAATTGAGAAGATTTTTGTTTACAATTTAATTAATACATATATTTACTGTTTTGTATTTATTTATTTATTTACAAGAGATGAAAGTTGAACAACAAAAGAAACACCGATCGGCAACAGTGGATAAGTCGATGACAACCGAAGAGATAGAACGCGATGAAAGGGTATCATAAAAAAAGTGTCACTTATTTTGATTAGATTTTTACATTTTTGTCTAAATTATGTATTAAATGATATTTTTTTTAAACAATACCATGAATTTAGAGACTCGACAGATATATCGATGAAGAAACTAACAAAATTGATATGAAGACTATAAACGAATTGGATCAATCAGTTAGTGAACAATATTTTTATATTATTAGTTACTATTTTTTTTTGTATAAAAATATAATTTTAGTATTTATTTTGATTTTTCTAACATTATATTTAAATTGCAAATTATTTGATTACAATTATTTTTTGAACGGTTAGGTTAGCGACCAACAGGCGACGCTCGAGAGGGCCGGCGTTCCTGGCTTTTATGTGACCAACAATCCGACCGAAATACAGCTACAAATGTATATTTTGGATTTTATTACCCGACTATCGATTGAACCGACCGACAAATATTAGAGTGAATTAGTGATAATAATAATAATAATTTAATTACATTAGCTATTATCGTACATAAACATCACTGTAATTGTTTATATAATATTTTTTATATACTGTATTATAAATTATTTTGGCATGAATTTTGTAAATTAAGCAAATAACTATTAAATTTTATTTTTAAATATATATAATTTTGTTAATTATTTTCTAAGTATAAATTATAGTTATTAGTTTTTTGTGATTTTTATTTTACTGTAAATTATATTTTTGGTAAGCAATTGTCTTATTAAAATTATTTATTCTAATTATGTTATCAATTGCTATTATACTATAACTTAGAAAAAACTAATTAACAATATTTTCATTAAATGATAAGGGTAATTTTAATTTATATATAAAAAATTAATTTATTAACCGGTAATCGTTTTATGTAATATTTTTTTTTAAATACATTACGCTAACATATATGTGCTAATAATATAAAGTAGTAGTAGTTGTAGTAGTGTTAACATAAATTAGCCGACAATTAAGAAAATGAGAGTATAATTAATTTTTTTATAACTAAAATATGTGGGAAAGTAAGCTTTTAATTGAAGTAATTTATTTTACAATATTTGTATATAAAATACTTTTTTTAGATATACTAATTAATACATTTAGTATTTAGGAAATGGACTAAATTTGCTATTAACCGTTACAACGAACCTTTTAATATACAGTATAAATAGGCATTAAAAATGTGAAAGACATGGGATTTATCTTAAAATAAATTGCTCTCAAAATCTGAATTGTGTTTCAGGATTGTTATGAATTAAGCAGAAAAAAATTGAAAGTATTATCGCTTTTCATTGACTTTTTCTTGTATTTCATTGTAGTTATGGTCCGCAAACCCCAAAAAAATTTGGCTAAAATGAATATTTAGATACAATTTGCTGCAAATTGAGTTCATATGGCATTAGATTTGGTGCAAAAGGCAGGAATTAAAATAGAAAAGTAAATCAGGTGTCGACCAAACTGTCATACAATAGCACAGTTTGCTTAGATTTCGAGGCCAGTGCTCAGCCCAATGAGCTCGTTATGAGTCGAAACACTCAATGGACACAATGATCTCAATATATTTATAGTGGGCTAAGATTATTGAGGATTTGAGGTATTGCTGGAAATAACACTATTTAAGACACTCTGAGAGAGAGAGAGAGAGAGAGAGAGAGAGAGAGAGAGAGAGAGAGAGAGAGATCCAGAAGAATAAAACAAAGGACTGGCACTCAAGTAGTTCGTTGGCCTACATATGAGTTCCCCAAATATACAATAGTATTGATATCATATTATGCATAGCACTCTCTTTTTTAGTGTTTATTTTCTCTTCTTTATTTTAAATGTTATATTAATAATAATAATATGTAGAGTTCATTATTACCATTGAAAATACTGTACTTATATAACCCAAAAACACATTATTTTAGTTTTTAACGCCCGACCGGCCATACGGCACAGTCATCGTGCGGCCGAATATTGACCCTTAACTTCTAAGGGATATGGGATAAAAACCATGGGATGTATGTTTAGAAAAAGGATGTTTGTCTTTATAATTCAATATACGATATATTATAACTTACAGCTATAACTACCGGAAACTTGTTCAATGTTAAATATTGAAACCGTTATAACTGTAAATATATGCATACCTGTCCATCCATACAACTTTCCCACAAATATTGCAGATCTGCTAAAAAGCTGCCTCTCTCTCTCTCTTTCTAAAATATCACTTTCCCCTCCATGTATTAGACCCATGTATTGGTACATCCGGTAATGAAAGTTAATAGTCCAATGAAAGTGACTCATATAGCCCATGACCACCAGTGCATTTGGTGGACCAGTCCTTTTCCATGTAAGTCATGGGGTGGACGTGTAGTCGTGTATAAGGTCATAGATAGTAAATCGGTGTCAATAATAAGTTTCACTTATATATATATATATATATATATATCCCGATCCCATTTTTTCTCTCTCAATAACTATGAAAAAATAAATAAATAAATAAAAGCATAACATTTAGAGGGGAACATTGACTAAACTAAACTACCGGTAAGTGCAATTGGCACAGGTATCAGAAACCTATAAACCCCAAAAATTGGATTTCGGACACAAACAGAGGCATTAAGAGGCGATGCCTATAACTTTCAAGAGTAAAATCTGGTCTGAAACGAGTGGTGTGCCCTTCAATTTTGAGCTCATTTTGACCCAAAGTTCCTCAATACTGTCCCATTCACCTACTTTTGTCACCTACTTTGCGCTCAACAGTAGACCAACGCAACCTTCATAAGCACCGATAGCTAGTGCTCTCCGTATGTATGGCAAGGACAGGAGGAGTAGAAAAAGACATACATAAGCATTGGATAGTGTGTTGTATACATAGGATGTAGTGTGTAGTAGTGTGTAAAGCATATGCAATTGTATGGATAATATCCATTGGATATGTATGTACTGTATGTGTGTATGTATTTATGTATGATATCATATCATTGATATGTATGCGCACACCTTATCTCCACTCTCTCGGAGGAACAGTCGACTCGACTAAACCAAAAGGTTAAAAATATATAATAGCTTTGGCGGATGGGCTGACCTTCATTGGCACTGTTATCGTATGGAATATGGATCGGTCTATTGTTGTCGGGGAAGTCATGGTCAAAGTTTAGACCTAATACCGGAGCTGATATTGTGATCAGTCGGCTGAAACCCACCTTATTTTTATGGAGACCCTGAACGGTGGGCCCGACTCACGGTGTCTTTGTATCCATTAATTACCTCATATTATGCGACAATAGATTTAATGAATTTTAAATTATATATATATTCTATATTTTTTATTAATTAAATTATTTTTTTAGGTTATATATTATCTTAATATTTATCTTAATAGGTTATATTTATTTATTATTAATTTACAAAATTCAAATTATTACTTTATTATAGATAAATAGTTAATAAATTTTTTTATGTGTTTTTAATTAGTATGATTATTGCCATTTATTCAATTAAATAATTTTTTCCAAAATTAATATATTCAAATTATTACTAATTAATATCATATTATTATTTTAATTTTATGGACTATTAAAATAACAATTTTGTTTAATAAATGACTTACAAATTAAATTTTATTTTTTATATATCATAGTTACTAAGTTTATTATATATGATTTAACATATTTATAGTCTATTGTTTAAAAAATACAACTCATCTATTGTTAATAAAAATACATCAAATTACTTAATTTTAGTTAATAACAATTGTAAATTTTTTATTGCTAGCCTTTTATATTAAAACTATATTAATCTATTTATTAAATATCAGTGATTTAATAATAGTTATTTGACATACATGTGTAATTCATTGTAAACTAGAGTTGTTAAATGATTTTAAGGAAAATACTGGATATATATAGTGAATAATTTTTTACATTAAATTAGAAAATCATAAAAAATATCTCGGATAATTTTACTAAAAATATATATATATACTTTATTATTTTAATTTAATAAAAATTTACAATACACATATTAAATAGTTTTTTTTAAATTATTTAAATAATATGGAATTGTCCAGGACAAATCATAAACATTTAGTTAGTCTATTGTTAACTCAACCTAACCGACCTTTCCAATTATATACATTGTATGCACTTTTTCTATGCTTTATTGTTAATATATACTACAATATACAGTAGAGACAGACATTCAGCAGTAATACATGATTTCTTTGTACATTACTGTTGGTGGCAATGGGAGAGAAGCCGTTTGAAGCAATACATGCGCTACTGATGGTGGCGTTCAATGGGAAGCCAAGGTTAGGATGAGATCTTTGGTTGAGGCGTTACCCTCGAAACTGTGTCAGTTGAGAGCTATGAAGGTCGCCGCAGAGTTTTCACGGCCACCCGATGCTCTCAACAGCGATTCAAGGCCCACATAGCACCTGATGGCCAACCCTTTGCGTTCATAACTTTTCCGCGATGTATTCGCGACATTGGAGTTCAGACACTCCAGAGCCTCAATATCGGGATGTGCTCTCTCTCTCTCTCTCTCTCTCTTTCTTTCTGTAGAAGTAGTAGTTGTAGTTATGGTAGTAGTAGTCGTAGTAGTAGTAATAGTTCGTAGAGCTATCACTCTAACCAATACGTCAATGTCTCTCTCTTCTCTCTCTCTCTCTCTCTCTCTCTCTCTCTCTCTCACTATTGTTGCTTCACTCGATTTTCCAATACCTAGAAATCCAATGATAATTACATTACTATAAAAAATTCAATGTAGATATTAAATTGCGACTATTAATAAATATATAAATTATACTCTATGTATAATATAGTATTATATTATATTACATTTCTACATTTTGTTTGTTTGTATTAATCTCTACTATATTAACATTTTTTATATGATTAAACATACATTTTCATATATATATATTTATAATATATAATCAATTAATTGGCAACAGTTATCATTTATTTATTAACACTAAATAAATAAAGTTTTTTTAAATTTAGTTATATTTAACTAAATTTAATGATAAAACTAGAATTTATATTTATATAAAATTTTATATGACCATATATTGAAAGTATAATATATAAAATAATTGATAATATTTTATATTAATGGACATTTGTGAATTAAAATGAAATAAAATTAGATTTATATTTTAAAAAAGGCTAATATTTTAGTTATAGTAAAATATAATTCACATTTCAATGAAACAGAAAGCCATAGAAATGGGTTCAAAAAATCTATAATTGTATACAACTTTTTTTGCCTATAATATATCGTTTAAGTGATAACCTAATGTGGTTAACACATAGAAAAATATTCATCCAATGTTATATATTACTGTTAGGAATAAGTTTCGAGACAAACAAAGAAACCTAAGTTTACGTCATTACTGTATGGTCTCTGTTATTGTTGTCATAATTTTTTATAATCAAATCAGTAGTCAATACTTTAGTTTTCATTTGTGATCAGTTGTTTTGGTGATGTCTTCAATAGTAAAAGTGGTAGATAGATTATCATCAAGAGATCCACATATCCGTAATGTCATGCCTAACAAATATCGTCGTG